CAGCCCTATTTCTTTATGTCGATTTTTTCGTGGCAGTTTTTGGTCTTAAGGTTTGAAAGTTGAAAGGATACTAGATCTAATGTGCACGTATAAAATATATAAACAAAAATTCAAGTTCCATACACACTTTTTTCTTATTGAGAAAAAACTAATTAACTAATATACTTCGATTATAAACACATGCATTGTTTATCTGAGCTTATGTTAATTCAAGGACGAAATTTGTTTGTCAGTAAGAACTAGAGAAGTTCATTAGTTCAAGCATCGAGTTAAAACAGAACTTGGTCTTCTTTTATAAGGTGGGCGTGGACTAATTCCTTTATTCAAGGAACTTTCCAAAAACTAGTTTAATCAGTGTAAATATTAATTGACAACATTGTAGTGTCTATACTCTTTATATTTCAAAAGTGATTTAATTTACCTTCGTTATAATAGTCATGTTTAAGTTGACATAGAATTCAATTGATCAAGTAGATGACTGGTGGTAGGTAGGCTTGCCTAAATCTAAACTATCTATATGCACATCAACTGCGCATGCCCGTCCTTAATCCTTATCCGGTTTCTTTTTTAACGTTGATTCTTCGAAAAGCTGCCTATTTTGTTTTACCGTATTCTTACCATGTTTGTACAATTTATTTTTATTGGTTTCATGGCATATTATGTACGGAATAATAACATTTTATAAGTATTCCTCATATTCCAATATTGTTGCGGTCCTAGTAACGGGTGGTAAAAGGATTTTCTGTAATCTGGAAAAAATTGACTATTTTATGGATACTATTATACAGGGTTGATCGCATGTCTATAATAACCGAGCCGCGAAGGTTTCCCCATCAAATCAATTTCACAAAATTGTCAGCTCATTCTGTTGGTCACTAAGAGACAACTAAAGAGTTACAGCTAAGTATTGTGTGTTGTCGAAGGACTAGGTAAATTAATTAGGGCCAGGCAAAAGCCACAACACTGGATACATTCTATAAACTGTGATAGAGATGTTGACGGTTTTTATAAATTTTTTCCCCCTAAGCATTGGCAACTTTGGCCATTAGCTGTTGGTTAATTGATTTTGGGCAGGAATGGAACTTGTGTGCTAGAGACAGCTTAACCTCAAGTGACACGTGACAGCTGAGGTGTCCACTGCACCACACAATGTCCCTTTTTACATTTCTATGAAAATATAAGGCTGTATTTTGGGGTGCTATTGCAAAACTCCCTTACGAACGAAATCATTTTGATTTTTTACCATATGTATATATTGCAATTTGCATTGAGATTACGTCTGACAATACCCTTAACAAATTGGGAATCAAAACGCTTATTTTTTAAAGTTGGCTCGAATTCGAAAATCGCCTCGATCAACGCAGTCGAAGATAGGTTAAATGTCTGTTGAAATTACATAATATGCAAAAAAAAAAACTTTCATTCGAGGACGGTTTTGGACACTTTTGCATCAAGCCAAGCCAGAAAAAATGTTTTAAATAAACTATTATTATTTGTAAACATATATATTTATTATTGATATATTTTTTAACACCACAATAGTACAATGTATTATTTTTGTAACGTGGTGTGGTATCTTAAATCGTGTTGCTAACCGACAATATAGTCTCGTTTGATTTAATCGTAATTTTCAACTAATAACACATAATAACAATTATAACGATGTACTAAACGTGTATTATTTTTTTATTGTATAATATGTGTGTTATATTTTTTATAATTTCGTCAATTACAATTTGTAAGATAAAAATGGACACATTTATGTGGACTGCGTAAAAATTCAGCGATTGAACCGATGACGTCATATTATTTATTACAATACGCCTGTCATCGTTGAATTAACTCCATGGATTTAGTCATTTAAGTGTTAAATTTATTTTTGTCACATATTGTATTGTACAATATACATACAAGTTACATAGCAAAAATTCAACATGTTTTTTTGCATAATTTTTTGTCATGTTAGAAAAAAACAATTTAAAGTTATTAAACTAAATTACTGTCTGTCAGATGTTATAAGCGTAATTTGCTTAGATATACACTTTTTTTTGTTTATCTATTTTTCCCAAATTCCTAGTAATTTAATCTACGTATAAAAAAAATTGTAAATTATAAAATTTTAAAAAAATTTGGCATTGATGTGTTAAGTATAGCTTTGTCACGTGGCGTCTATTCTTGAATCATACACATTCGAACTTAAGCTGTTAACTATTTGTTTTTTTTAATTTGTCGCACTCACCGCACTGGAATTTGGAGCACGCGCTTGTACTTCATCGCACTATGATATTTTTATATTATTATTAATATTGTCTTACTACTTTAAAAAAAAAAAGTTAAATTCGTTGCAAATTTTTATGGAATATTCTTTATGTATATGCTATCGACAAACGTTGAGAAACCAAACAAAATATGTTATAAACCCTTTCCCCTAGATGGGATGAAAACGTTTTCTTTATTTCTCTTTTTTCGCTAGTAGTTTTAGGACTTAAATTCTAAAAATGTCATTATAGGTAGATTTAGAGTATGGCTATAACATTTATAATTGCTTCATATAAATGTATTTATCTTTTATTTCATTCTTTATTCGTAATGTTTTTTTGCTTAATTTAATGCTTTGGTATTGAGCTAAACTTTTTGAAAAAAAATAATACTGGGAAGAATAAATCCTATCGTACAAAAAAAAATATTAATACCTAATACTTAATTCGGATTCCGTTCCAGTTACTCAACTGTACACCAAGCACAAGAAAGAAAAAAATAGTGTCTCGGTGTTTTCTTAGAATTGCACAAGCTTTCGATAAAGTATAGCATAAATAAGGGTTTGGTTTTTAAAATAAAGAGGTTCTTACCGGCACCATCATACTTAATTATTCTTAGAAGATAGGTTTTTCACAGTACGTCATGGATTTGCTACATCAGGTATTCATACAATTTAAGGTGGAATGCCTGTGGGAATAGTCTTTCCTCCGTACTGTACAATATGTTTACAACAGAGACCTTTACAACAAATCAAACAACTTTGGCGACTTTTGTCGACGACACCGCCATTCTACCATGTAACGAACATCCAAATATTGTGTCACAAAGTCTTAATGCATTATCAGCATAAGCAATCAAAGTGAACACTAAGAATAAATGAAACTAAATCATCACAAATAAATATAAGGCTTCAGCCTAGGTAAAAAATAATGCCCACAGAACTCAATACCATTACAAGCAAATACTTAGGAATCACATCAGACAAATACTAACATAGGGGCAGCACATTAATACTCAAAAAAAGCCAGTACAGCGGGGTCAGGGCTTAGTGGAAACGGACAGCATGACAGATGAAAACTGATCTTTACAGTTGCTACACGAAGAAATTAGCTCAGCAGTTTAAAAATTATCGTGGGTCTAGACACCCAAACAAATTTTAATTAAAGTGCAAACACATCATCAGAAATAATATACCTTCTCAGTTTTTAGCATCGAAGCTAAAACAAGTTATTTTTTTATTTAGGTGCGATTTCTATAACTGGTGTTACTGAAATAAATAGTGGCCAATAATGTTCCAGACTTACTTGATATGGCCGTGACAAACGTTGTAAGAAAAAATGCTTACACAAATACCTAATATACCTGTATAGCTTATTGAAGGAACTTAAACAATAAAACACTAAACATAACTAAATCTAACTTTTATGGAAATATTATGATAGGTATAACTATAATCACGGAATTCGGTGTGCTAGTTTTAAAATCCACTGTGCTGAGCAGTAAGCGCCCTTAGCGCCCCTTCGATTTGCAAAAACGCCACTTAAAGCAACAATGTTTTCCAAAACATTTCCTGTGATAACCCACCTGTTTATGATGTACAACTTTAAAGCTCTGTAGTGAGTTAACTATATCGGATAAAGTTTTAAAACTATTCATTGCACTTATAACATGCCAAGAGAATTCTAATAAGGTCCTAAACAACAAAATCCGTTTATCGGTTTCGAATACCTATCTGTAAATGGAAACAAAATGAACACAAATTGAAGCTAAAATTGACAATTTTTTTAATAATAATTGTAAAAAACTTAAATAATTGATTTTTAATTGTTTAAATTCTTATCTTGGCGGTCTTATTGACGAGCTCTCTCTCTAAAGAGCTTAGAATCGATTTTCTATCTCTTATATTGAAAATGAATAGTTATAAGTAGGGCAGAGGACTTGTAGCTCTAAAAAAACACTAAACATGCAAGCACTTATGCACTTAAAAACCCTAAAATATGCACTATATATATGCTTTAAAAAACAATTTTTGCGATTTAATTACTTTAATTAAAACATTTAAAATAAAAAAAACAATTACTGATTAAATTAAACTATATTTATATGCTATACTACGAGTTCACCACCAATAAATGCGTAAAAACTTTGGCTTTATGAAACTTTTACTATTTATTGACTTAATTAGACTGTAATTAATGTATAATTTATTAAAGATAGGTATATTGTATAATTGATTTTATATTTTAATAATTTGATACTCATTCTTTTGACCTTAAAAAAAAATTTCCAATATTTTAGAATTTTTTTACTGATTATTGTTTTGATAAATTATTTTTAAAGAAAATATTCAAAGAATCCCCCCTAAAAATCATATATAACTTAAAAATGTCTCAAAAAAGACCTAAATATGCAACATAAAATTACAGATTTGGCTTTGTCATAAGTTATACTACGCCGACTTTTTTCAAATTCAAGAGCACCTCTAAAGTTACATAGTCTAGACTTTTTTTTGTAATTTCAATTCAAACACCTCGCTTGATTTTTTTAAAAATCACAATCGGTATTCCAACCGCAATCAGTCAACGACTGAAACCGAACCAGCGACCAGACCGGCGGCAGGGGTCGACACTCGCGACCTAGTCCATAGTGGTAGGAGTACAATTATAATAATATGTGTGTGTACTGTGTGTGTGACGTATGTGATTTTAGAAAAACTTACCGTCCAGTTCACTGTTGGAGTAGGTATCATCGGCATTGGTATATTATAGCCGTCAGTACCGTATTATTATCTCTGCCCATCGCGCGCTTGTGTGTGTGTGTGTGTGTAAAGCGTTATGATAACGCGTTACATTTTTTTTTTTCTATTTACTCAAGTTTTTCAAATATTTCGTTTTGTGTCGTCCGAGATTATAAACGATAATATAATTATTGTGTCGTACACGTCGGATTAATAATAATAATAATCGTTAATTATTAACGACGGCAAACTATCGACGCCTAATGTGTAATATTCAGCGATTGCCGTCGACCAACCGAGTTGTCCGCGAGACGATGGCAACAAGTTAGGCGATGAACGGCGGCAACAACATATTATTTTCTTGCATTCCTCGAGGCGAATATCAGGTATTTCATAAAAGGACAGCGTGTACGCGGTGGGCGTCAAGTTTCTAATAATGTTATTCAGGCCTATTCGGGCCATATGGCCAACATAATATTGGTCTGCAATCTGTTGTATTTATCATTTCACGCATTCTATTATATTGTGCAGGCTTTTGATAAACCACCGACCCGGCATTGAATCCACCACCGCCTCATAATAGTGCGGTACACGCACAAATGGACGGACGCCACTACGAGGAGGATGGCGACAATATCTCCAATGCCAGTTCGTCCCTGGCGCCCGACGGTTCTGTAGTTTCTAATGTTACCGACAAACACGGATTCTTCGGAGGTGCTCAATATCTACCCGACTCGTAAGTTGATTTCGTTTCGTTATCCAAAATCATTAATAATAGGTGTCGTCACTTCTGTTCTGTCGAGTGTTAGGATTGTTTTTTTTTTTTTAAATAATTAGCTTTGGTACAGAGCCGAGAACGATTAGATTTTGCAATGACGTCCTTTTGGCCGTAACAATATATAAAATTATTGAGTTTCAAATTAAAAATTAAACCCAGGAAACAGTGTTCTCAATTAACCGGTTGGTATGCTATGCCATGTCCGTAGGTTACTTCCTGTGTGATTCACATTAGCTAAGCATTAGTGATCGGTTGTACATTTTAATGTATTTGTTATAATAGTTCACAAATCGAATCTAGAATACAATGAGAATGAAGAAAATCGACACTTAGGCAGCGTGATTACGATTTCTTTTACTCTTTTTGTTTGTTTACATCTATGAGAACTATATCTTGACTTTCTTTTAAACATCAGTTGAACATTCACTTCCCCCCCTCCCCTTTCTCACAACTCTAACAAGATACTTGACAGATGCACAATTCGATGCTAGGAATATAATAAAGATTGTTATACATAGTACGGTGTAATTATAATAATTATTGTGTGAATTTTAAACAATGGTTTTAATTTTAGAAAACGTTTGATATCGCCTAAAACTACTATAGAAAGAGAAAAGAAATGGGTTGAAATGACAGCCAATTGGGAAAAACAGCTTAAAAAAAATTTTAAAAAAGTAATTTGAATTTTAAAATAGGATACAAGATATAAATTATAAAATGTCTAAGAACTATTAACTAAACAATATTTTTTATAGGTGCAGAACAGATGTAGAAAGGGCATTCCACAGTCGATTAGACCCAGAGCATGGTTGTATTTAAGTGACGCTTACAAACTACTCGAGGAAAACAAATTGTTATATTATGAACTTTGTAATCAGCCTGGAGATCGGAAATGGATTGAAGATATCCGAAAAGATCTACACAGGCAGTTTCCGTGTCATGAAATGTTTGTCAGTCAAGATGGACCTGGGTAAAATATAATATGGCGAGTTAAAATTTATAAATACACTATTTTTGAAGTATTAATTTTTTTTTTTCAGTCAAAAAGAATTATTCAATGTTCTCAAAGCGTACACAATATATAGGCCCAAAATTGGGTATTGTCAAGCTCAAGCACCTATTGCAGCATTTCTTTTAATGCATATGCCAGCTGAGCAATCATTTTGGTGTTTGGTAGCCGTGTGCGATAAATACCTCGTAAATTACTACAGTCCGGGAATGGTAAACATTCAAATTGTCAATCGGTATTTTTTTTTATTTTTTTTTATCGTTTTGTTTATCTTTCAGGAAAGTCTTATTCTAGATGGCAATATACTTTTTGCCTTATTAAAAGAAAAAGAACCAAATATTTACAAACTTTTAGTGAGTTCTATATATTAAGGATGTATGTGTGTGTGTATTTATTCAGATAATAACTATTTAATTGTCTTATAGAAAAAACAAAGCATCGATCCAATTTTGTATATGACTGAATGGTTTCTATGTGCGTTTACAAGATCGCTACCGTGGCCCACTTTGTTAAGATTCTGGGACATATTTTTATTTGATGGTAAAATCCTTTATATTTTACATTAATAATTTGGAATAATATAACTCATTTGTAATTTTAATAAAATTGTTAAATGTTTTAGGTGTGAAAACATTATTCAAAATGGGTCTGTTATTAACTGGGATATCGTTGCAAGGGAAATCGTACTCGGCTCTCAAGAAACGTTATCCTACTATGTGTGAAACCCTAGAAGCTCTTAGAAATCCACCTTTACACTTGTTTGAAGAAAACAAAATTATAAAAAAGGTACTGCATTTGGTATCTTGGTATCAAAGGATTTACTTTTGTTAAAATATATTAAAATGAGAATTCAATTGACTTAAAAAAAAAATCATACATTGTTTCTTAAAAATATGTTAGTTGACTTCCATCTATCGAGTGATTCTTCGTATTGAATATTGTTTGTACTTATCTTTATATTTCAATTTGTCTTGCAGCTTATACAATTAGAAATATCTGAAGACATGTTCTTATACCACCATGAACGACAAGTGTTGTTGATGAAACGAAAGATGGCCACAGAAGAAGTGAGAAAACCGCGAGAGTCGGATATTTTTTAATTAAAACTAAATATTTATTAACTAAAAGTTACCTATAGGAAAACAGGTTATTAATTTACTATTTTACATTAAGACATTTGCATTATTGTTGTCAGTCTTCCGTGCTGTTATAATTTGTTACTTTTTACTCAAAAATAATAGTTATTGAGTATACAGAATATTGTTTATTATTTTATGTTACTATGTAAATTCGAACCTATTGGTGCTTAAACTAATATAAATTTAAATAAGTATAATGTTATAACATCTAGTCCGATGTCTTTGTTAAACTATCATCTATACCCTTAATAACTTTTCTCGAGTTTTGTCATACCAAGTTGTTAAAGACTACATTTAGTTAAGTGGTAGGTAATAGTATGTATGTATAAGTTAATAATTAATATTCAGTGACAGCCAACTGCCAACAAAAATCCATTGTAAGCAATTCAAATATGTTGAGCAATGGTTTACTTTATCGAACGCATTTCTATACCCACTGGAAAGTATTATTCTTTATTATTAAAATTATAATTTACTAGTATTATTAGATGTTAATTATGAAGCAATTATTACTGTAACCGAGATAAAAATAATCTAGATGGCAGCTGTAGGCATATGATAAGATTTAGATTGTTGGAACTTTTATTAGGAGGACGCCGAAGAAAATAACGGGTGTGTGACGTCCTCTTAAGACAACTGTAATTTATTATATAAAATATCTAAACAAGAATATTCCATTATACTCATTTCATAATCATAATTAATTTTTTTGACTGCAGAAAACCACAAATATAATTATGTTATTATTTTAATTAATGATTATAATTGCTATTAATATTATTAAATTTTGAATATTTTTAAGCACCATATAATTATAATGTATATTATTATCCATACAAAGTGTGGCATTGGTAAATAATTCCACAAAATGTACAACACTTTTTGACTCTTTTTATTCTTTTAAATTATATCTAGTTTACAAATGAACGTGCTAGTATAACAATAAACATAGATATGTTTAGCATTAAGTGAAGAAAGTTTTAACTTTATTGTTCAATTTATCAAAAGCAATAAATAAAAATATTCAATTTATTGAAAATTGAATACTCAATAGCGGCTCGTTTTAAATAATACTTCACTTTTAATAAAATTATTACATTGTAACATACATTTTATTATAGAAAACACTAGTCGTGAATTTAATTTTTACATAGTATAATTATAAATAAAAAAAAAAACGATTTGTAGCCTAAGTTTATTGAACAAAAATTGAAAATTAATTTACATTTATAGAGAATATTGAAATTTTGACTACATTGCTATTAACATGAAGTAACATTTTTAGTTCAATTTTCATACTTGTCACGAAGATCTTTCCATTGTTTCTGTAAAATCACAATTAAAAAGCAATTAATATTAATGAACAATTATTTTTTCTCATAAATTTACTCAAATGTTGTAACGAGAACATTAACTAGTTAATTGTATGATCCTAACAGAAGCGACTAACTCAACTAAAGCTTCCTTTTTAAGAACACAATGTTATTTAAACACATCAGATACAGTTTCTAAGCATAAAGTAAGTACATTTATGTTCAAAATAATGTTATTTTGAGGTTTTTATTAAATTCTACAAAAACTCTACTTACTCCACGGTTCATATTGTCGTATAAAGCTTCCAGGCCAACATCTAAAGTTCTTTCGAAGAACAATGATCCTACTGCGATAACAGCAAAGAAGCGAGACGGCCTCTTTAAAACTGATTGATATAATACTTTTACAACAGACATGGTATTCTGTAAATTCAAAGAAGTATACAAACATTAATGTATAATCGGTAAAAATTTACTTGGGCTGTTTAATAAAACAGTATAATTCACGATTATGTGATATGCAATAAATAATTATGACTTTGAAGCCTTTGGCAACTGTTTTCTATACTATAGGATCGCATAATGGCCATAGGAAGTTTTTAACACATCCAATAGTACTTGAAACAGCACTTAAGAGAAAATTATAGAAATTAAATGTAAATTTAATATTTTCTCCTAAACAAGAACATAATGTAACTTGAGTTTTTTCTAGAGCTTTAATACTTGAATGTTACAGCAGTACATAATAAGTAATTCGCTTTTAATTAGAATAATTATTATATAATACCAGTATGATTAAGTAGATCGTTTATAAAACTTATTTAACTCGTCTATTTCCAACACAAATAAATGCTTACATCTCGACAAAGAATTATTTGGGATCGGTTTTCGATTAAAAATATTTTCAAAACAAATCTATGGCTCGATTTTATTAAATCAACTTATTTTAATACTAAAATTACTAAAATTAGTTATCAACATAGGTATTTTAGGATAGATGTCCAATGCAGGTAGATACCCCACTTCTTTATTTATAAAAAGCAATAGTAAAGCCCCATACTTAGACGGACAGTTTTTATTGCCAAATTAATATCTAGAAAAGAGAGATTAAACACAGATTGTTAAAGGAAAATAAAAATGAGGAATGTATTATATTGTCAGGCTCCTTGTGAACAAACTTTGGGTCATAATATTACTCAAATACACCACTGTATAATATTATACCCTCTATATTAAATTCTATAGTTTGGCACGTAGTCAATTTAATATTCAATACAATTACCTTTTTCGAAGATTCGTAAAAAAAAATTAATTCCTTTTGTGTAAGTTTTTTAGACTGAATAGCGAGGATACAAATATCGATTATAGTAAAAAAACTTCCAGATTTCAGCTTCAAGGTGATTGCAAAATGATGATACCGTGCAGTTATCAGCAACCGAGCATCAGCTGAAAATGCTCAATTCGATTAACACAAACCATATGTTTCTTGCAGTGTTCACCAGTAATCTAGTTTACAGTGTGTCCAACTCAATGAAAATTGTAAATGGACGGACGCGTTGTAAATATTGATAAATTTATCAACTCTTCATAATCTAATAGGACGGATCGGAAATCGGGATCCGACATTTTGTGAACTCTGATAACTTTTTCGCGGCACAAAGGCATTAAAATCGAAATATTGGACGTTTTTATTGGATAACATAATAATTTTATGTTATATTGTTTGTGATTAGAATTTTCAAAATAAACGAATAAAAGAAGACATTTCCCGCTAAACTGTTTCCAATCGTCATTTGTCATTATTTGCTTCTAACATTTGCTGCAGCTTGTAACTGGAAAACATTAACAATTGTCTCTTGTCTTTAAACTATTTTTGTGTGCACCTTTGCACAAGGTAATGTATAATACTAAAATTTTATCTTATTTATATGTATATAAGTTTGTGTATAAATACAGAACCAATAAGGGAGCTATTGATTACACGACTTTCTTTAATCAGATTAGTTGACTGACTTGAAGTTTTACATTTTTCTAAGTCATGTTGACTTTGAAACTGTTTGAAGTCCTTATTTCAGTCACAAGGAAAACGGAAAAGCCATTAAAAAAAATTAAGATTCGCTTGACCCATTATTATTATACTGTTTATCATACATATTAATGAACCTAGTTTGATACGGTTATCGTAATATGTCAAGCTTATACAATGTGTAGTATGTTGAGATTAAGTTTGAGATCTAATGTACTATGAGGTTTGATGACATGATTTTGTAAAACTTCATTTTAACAGTGGCCAAACAATGTTATTTTTTAAATACAATTATAATCATTTATATCTTAATTTTTTTGTTATAATTTGTATAGTACATGTTACATAAATTCTAGTTTTGTATCGCTTGGCAAAATAATAGCCTTTTTGTATCTCCACAAAGAACAACTAGCTTTCCAAAAAAACTTGTTTCTGTTCACTAGGTATAGGAAAACCTTAGTAAAGGACTGCAACAACCATTTTTTTATCGATAATTTGTTGCATCACATTAGACAAATAAATCTAAAACTAACGTAATATATTTAATTTACCCTATTTTTTTGGCATATTTTAACTTTTGACGTTTCAGACCAATTGCAGTCCTACTGCAAAGCGATCTTTATTAAAAAAAATTACATTTAGTGTTCTAAAACATGTACTTCTTAAAACAATTTTTTATTATTGCAAAGTACCCGATAAATATATATATATATATATATTACTAATAAATAATAATATTATATAAGCTTTGAATAACGAAGTCTTTATTTAAAACTTGTTTACATTTCAGATGCCGAAAATAAAGAAAACAAATGATGAAAATGCAAGTCCTAAAATAAAAGGTTCGCCAAAAGTTCGGCGAACAAAGAATCCAAAAAAACAGCCGTTCAAGTTTGATATTAAACAAATATTGAAAGAGAGACAAGCTGATAATGCATTTTGGACGCAGAGCGCACAACTTGATAAAGAAATAAAAATTGTTGACGATTTGTTTCAAGAAGAAGTTACTAAATCAGCGGCCTTATTGGAAGAAACCCAGAACAATAACAAATTACCGGCTCGAGGATTGGCTATATTTGATCGTTCCAAGTTCAACCATATTAATTTGAATTATGACCAGGTTGAAACACATTCACAGAAGCTACTAGAATTGTCAGTTGAACAAAATGAACTAGAAGCGACCATTCAGTATAATTATTTACTAACAGCTAATTGGTCACCTACCATGGAAGTATGTATAAACCAAAATTAATAACGAGTTTTTTTTTTTTTTAAATATTGTTTCATGTTTATAGGATTTTCAGAATATATTCTTTAACTGGGGAGCAGATTTACAAAGTCTTCTTTATAAGCCAACGTCAAAAAGTCCAATAAGTGAATATGAAAAAATTGGACGCCATAATTTTGAACTGGTAATGGACTTTATGGCTAGAAGTATATTAAATAATAATCACAATCTTACCAACGAAGAGCTGATAACTTTGGCAAAATATACTATCAGTATTTCATCAGACTACTACTGTGGACAAATGATAAATGTAATTAAAAAAATGTTTGGAGCTTGCATCGAGGCAGCTTTACACGAAGACGACAAAACTGCTATAATTGCATTTGCCCAAGAAGTATACAGCTCGCACAGCAAGAGTGATTTGCTCAAATTAATAGTCGATTTGTTTTTACCGTTGGAAGGACGTTCCTTAAAAAAAATTTATTCCTATTTAACATTTAAGTTGTATAAACAGTTATTAGAAAGAACCAATATAAATGTATTTCCAACAAGTGTTGATGACTGGTATGTATTGATTCTATAAACATTTTTTAATCTGCAACACTTTTGATGCTCTATTTAATAAATAATTTTTTTTAAATTAAATTTTCTAGGTTTGTGCAAGACATGATCAATAAAGATTTTTTCAACCTACATCCAAAAAAGTTATTGAGCTATGTTGTTCATTTGCTTGAACACGTTGTAATTGTTTTTGATTTATATCAAAACGAGGAAAAGTTAAGTCTTATGTATGATTTTCTAAGTGCTGCTGCAAGACCATCAGGTTTATCAGAATCTCTGAAGATTGTGAACATATTAGATCAGTGGAGATTAAGGTTATTCCGCCTCTATGTAAATCGTAAAAATATTATATAATTATATTACAGATATACCAAAGATAATTATGTTACAGATATTTCTTTTATATTATTTTAAAGGATTTATATATGTTTTTTGGATGTGTTAAACATTTTATTTAAGCTTTAAATTATTATTAGTTGATATTGAAGAGTCGATTTAGTTTATAATATTATGTCCAATAAACTAAGAGACAAGTGATATTGTTTATAACCAATTAAGTGTGGGAAACCTTATACTTCTCTTAGATTGTTTCCCAGCCTGACCAAGTGTTGAATCACTGACAACAAGCGCAAACACACTGTTGCCTGCCCGCACTCGGCCACTAGTCCTTTCTTAACCAAAAAAGTACAACTATATAATAATAATAGTATTCTTTATTTGCAAACAATGTATCATACAATACGTAATAGTTATTTTTAAATGTTATATTATAGTGTTGTTTCTTCATTTATTTTATAAAGTAATTATAATTTATGTATGATGAATAAATCTGGTATTAAAATTAAATTGACATTTAATCGCTTGATGAACCTGAATCTCTCTGTCTCGAAACTAGGATAAAATAAACGGTGAACAGTTACTATGTGGCTAATAATTGAATAAAAATTTTTGTTTTTGTAGAGCAGTGAACTTACAGTTATTTAACACTCGACGATTATTTGCTCCTTTGATGGTTTTTTGTTTAGGTATAGCTCCACCCGACGGATTTAAATAAAGTGTCGGGTTTTCTCTTGTATAAGTTTCTGGCTGATTTAACCTTGAACTTATGTTCACGACACAATTAATTAATCACTTAATTATTAGAACTTAATGCGATTATTCACAACTCACTTAGATAAAAACTGTTCGTAATTATTTCTCGCAGAACTATTGTTTACTAAACGATTATCTGAACTGCCCACTGTATTGGAATTCATTTTTTGTAGCTTGACTCTCGGTAATTTCGGTATTACCGAATGCTCAAAATTAGACGAGGCAGGTAAGTGTGAGTTATTAGTCATTTCGGGTCTTCTCAACACTAGTGTTGACGCAGCAGAAACATTGACGGGGCCTAAAAGCAAATTTAAATGTAGATTAATTATTAAAATAATATTTTAAATAAAAACTAATACCTGACGTCTGTTTCAACAAATTGCATTTGGATTCTGGTTTCAAAATTGTGTTTTGTTTACCTGATTTGTGTGCATTGACATTTTTATCAAAATTATTTATCTTGGGTAGATCCAAATGTACTTTTTCACACATAATCTAAAAAAAAACCCATACAAAATTCCTTAAAAATAAGTTACTATAGTATACAATTACATTAATAATAAGTGTAACGTAATATTGTACTCGTGTACAAACATTTAGAAATGTGTAAGTAAAATAATATAATTTTTTTCAATAATAAAAATCGATCAGTCAACCTAATCCTAAAATTAGTTCTTAACATTTTGTTTTCGAAGACTGTTTTTATTCAAAAAAAAGCTTATAATTTAATAATGGACTATTTGTACATTACACTAAATATAGTTAGCTCGTACCGGAGACTTAGTCTCGCCAGGGTGATAAATCTTGCGACTAATAGTAAATCAAAATTGTGTCTAATGTGTTAATGGCTGCAGTAAAATTAATCCTCACACAGTATATGACATTTAACATACCTAATTTTGTATGTGTGATATTGTTTTTAAAAATCCAACTAAATTCTTTTTATTATTTTTTTTTTTTGTGGGTAAGAAACATTAATTTATTTTTTAACTAACCTGATGGCCGATCAATTTGTTGAGAGGTATTAGCTCTTCGCAGAATTCACAAGGTAGTTTTTCAACATTTGTTTTTTCATCTTCGTCTGAACTTAAACTGAGGTTATTCAAGTTCATTTCACTTTCGCTGCTACTTTCCAGGTCTAATGGTGGAACTGGAAACTTTTCGTTTAAATTATTGACATTTTTTTTGGGGTGTAAAATATTGTGAAATGTAGCCAAATCTGGACGACATCCTGTCTGTAATCGATTATTAAAGTTAATTATATATTTTTTTTAAAAATACTTTTAAATAATAATTACTTCGTGCAACACAAGATTTTCAGAATTAATCATTTTGCTGCAAAATTCACAAGGTAGCTGAACACCTTGCAGTACGTTTACATCTGGAAAATTGTTATAGTCTTCTGTATTTTTTACATAATCATTTAAATTATTCGGTTGATTGTTATGGTCAGACTGAGCTCCAGGTATATAAAAATCATCATCTAAAAAATAAATCAAGTACAACCTTTAAAACAAATATGAGAAGACGAGAGATATAAAAAATATACTGTTAAGTAAATTTAATAAATTTATCAAACGTTCCAAATATTAAAAGATAACGATTTGGTTTTCATACATTACATAATTTGGTGTTTTTTAAAAATAATAATTAACAATATTTATCACTTGGATTGTAAAATACGAATCAAATCTTAAAACTAAATATTGATCCTTTAACATTTGGTATGTTTGAAAAATCGTTCACATGTTCACAATTAAATATAATTTGATGAAAATGTGACCTCACAGACTGAAACATGCGTTTCTAGGTACTCAGCCACAGCTCGGCTAAAATAATTAAAATTTTACATTAATAATTAATCACATTGGGCCCTCTATTTCAAGTAAGTAATTGCACATTTACTGTGACACTGATATTGTATCAAATTATCAATATTGTCGGTTAGCATACAAAACCTCTCGAGTTGAAAATTAGTTTTTTACAAGAGATGTGAGCTTTTTTCATTAGTTTTAAAATCTGTGTAAAACGTCATCAGACAGAGAATGTTTTTTTTAGACTTTACCACATATCGTTTTTCATTCCGAATGTCATTATATATTATGCATAATACAGTATTAATATATAATATTAAATACCATTAGGTAAATTAATCAAGGTTGTGTCTTTTACAGACTCTTTGTTTACATCATGGTTGTTGTTGAGTGTATTTATCTGTGGCTGATCATTGTTGCGCTTAACAGGGGACACTCTGTTTATCGTCATAAAACCAGGGTCATTAAATCGCAACGAGGGCATACTAGTGGTTCTCGTTGTTGCACTGTTTGAAGTGTTTGGCACTTTTTTCGTTAACTGTGGATAGGCTGCTAAACTTTCAGCGCTGTCATCCAGTATTTGATTTGTAACTAAAATTCAAAAAATGAAACATGTATTACGAGAGTACATAAATTAAGTTTTTTATTATTACCGACCATTTGGAATTTTCTTCAGTTTATGATTTTCTTTATGCGTTTCTAAATATTTAATCATGATAAACTGTCCGCAATCATTACACCGTTCAGTGCGACTACCACACATATCTACGTGTTCGGCTAGCTCAAACGCTGCAATTTGGATATTGCAATAGTCACAAGTTTTTAAACGGCGTGAACAATTGTTTAACTAAATCATAACACATTTTTAATTTAATATTAAAATTATTCAAAAATAAACTGTATTGTAACAGATTAGTTTTAATCTTAAGTACATACTTTATGTGATTCCATATCTATTACTTGGAACCTTTCAAAACAGCCGCCACAAGATGTCTCGATGTGCATAGTTTTCTTGTGTTCATTAAGTTCAGCAGTAAGGATAGGTTCGTCACACTCTGGACACAATGTCAAGTTACGGTGACAGTACGCAGAGTGCATTACATAATTAACGACTGGAATATTTCTTCGACTGCAACATAATAAATATAAAATTTAAACTCATTAATATCAATTTTTGTTTTTTTTTTTAAAATGTTAAACTTTTTTCTCAGTTTTGTCAAATTTAGCCACACTAGGCGTAAAGTTAATATAACGGGAGTTATTTTTTTAAGTCAGCAAGCCCACAGAATTAAAATTTGTAACCTAAATCAAAATCTCAGTATTGACTTCAGAATTCTAATAATAATTAGAATATATACAGCAACATTCATATTGCTATTCGTGTTTCAGTATAATTACTACAAAATTAAAAACCCGAGTCCCCGCTGGTCACCACTATACTACTAGGCATTCCACACCCAGGGCTTCAAATATAAACAATATTTTGTTTGTTATTGAAACGTAAACTGTTAGTAATTAATATTGTTATCAAGGCCTGTCTGCTCCCCATTAAATGTAAAATCTGACTTATGACTGGGTAAGTCTAGCTAAGTTGTATTTATGGCTCCCTCTAGAATGCGAGTCCAGACGAGCAGAGATGAAATACATCTGAGGAACCCTACTATAGGAATTGCCTGTCAATTTTTGGTTTTAGCACTACCTGCTCATTAGTCCACCCACACCTATGAAACCGTATCCTATTAGTTTTTATATACTAAGCACTTGATATTCATTATTCTACCACAAGAGAATATAATTGTTAGTACATCATGTAATACGCATTAACAGATTAGGTCATGTAATAATGGCACAATACTTTTCTTTGTATTATGTATTACACACACACAAGACTAACGAAAACCAAACAGTAATGGCAATCTCTAAAATCCTAGTATGGCAAGTCGTAACAATAATAATTGTAATTCGTAGAAGGAGCATTGACACAGTATTCTGTATCGGGAAAACGGTACAACAAAAAAATACATTTGAACGTATAATAATAATACGGTTATGGTTAAGACGTACCAATTGAAACAGAATTTAGTGTCTTCTTCGTTCTCATTTTGACTCATTTTATACAAATAATTTGACCGTACAATATAACTTTAGCTGTAGGCAATGACTAATGTATAAAATGAAAATCCAAAGTCAGAGAAGTACACAACACGCTACAAGTTATCTTTTGAGATTTTTACATGCTGATGTTGATAACGGCAATGGTCGGCCGTCATAATAATATTATGACCGCTTGATATGATAACAATATTCAAGTTGACTCTCGTAGTAAAAACAGTCAAAGTCTCTAGAATTGTTTTTCCGATTTAGGCCATACCAATTAATAACAGTGATTGAATCCGCAGTTTTATCGATAAATTATAACGTTCATTTCTACTTAATTAAACGGTTGAAACTCTGAAAAATTCAATATTAAAATCGACGTGTTACAAATAAATGTTGTAAGCTAGATAAGAATTAGAATGTTGAGCCTGGAGGCAACTTCATTCAACGTTCCATGAAGCGAACAGCTGCGAGCAATGTTTTTAACTTGTAGATAATAATATTCTCATAAACATTATGTCTCTACTCACAAGGGATAATCATAATAATATTATTATGAAGGTTTTTTCATTCATAATAATTTAAATGCGCAGTACTTTATAAGATGAACCAATCGCTATTGTATTTTCTCGTCTATGCTATATTGGTCATGTTTTGATTTGACGGTTTATAAAAAAACAAATACAGTAGAATCAATTCTAGTAAATAAATATTTACATCCATGCATATTTTTTTCTCCCTTAAAAAAAACTGATTACCCGCGTGATTTGGGTTGATTGCTACACACTACGTTTATATTATGAACCTACTAAAACACGTTATGCAACTAAACAATTTTGTAAACTAGCATAAAAACAAGATATTGACTGTAAACCATTAAACCGTTTTGAAAGATAAAATACTCGCACTGTTATAAGTATTTTAAAAATGTCAAACCTTTCGGAAATACATGCTAGAAAACTCTTTGTTAGCTTCAAAACGTTTTAATTGCTTCATTTATATTTAAACGTAGTAATGGAAAAGTAGAATAGGTTATACTTGAATGATGCATTTCATCTAGGGCACATGCAGATGGTTTAGGAAAAAATGGACAGACTAAATATTTAAAAAACCCCGTAAAAGACCACTGGGTAAAAAAATAAAACGATTAATAAAATAAAAAAAAATCGTACATAAGTAATTCAAGAGTAAATTTTACATGTAGGTACACAACGAAATTATTATTCAAAAACTACAATGTCTGCAATCAGTAGTGACGTGTAAAAAAAATGTGTAGTTTTAAAACAAAATATTATTTTCACATAAAAAGCAGTCGTTATGAAAAAACTAAGAAATAATATTTAATACCAGTGATCAATTTTACAATTTTTAGTTCGAAAATAAAACAACACGATATTGCAGAATGCAGGTCGGATTTTTTTAAACGGTCGGATATTATTATTATTTTACAATATCAGTATTTTAATTATTATAGAATATAGGGACTATGTAGTCTATAATCTATATAATATATAGTATTTGGTCTCTCGTGGTCATGCGTAATGGATATTATATCGTCAAATGAAACCGCTCACTAATAATAATTATACAGCTAATATAATTATAGGCAATTTTTCGCTAAAGCATGACTAGAAAGTAGGAACTAAAATTATTATTCTTAGATATTAAGTATTAACACGATGACAAACATAATTCTATATTAGTATTAATAGTTATTTCTTTCCCACGACTATAATTATTCTACTACGTAAATTGTTAATAATATTTTTAGTTTCAAAATAATTACCTCAGTCTTACAATATTTTAAAAATTCTCATTTTTTTAGAAGGTATTTACAATTAAATGACAACGCATAGGATTTACTAGTAAATGTTTTCAAAGGCATAATAATATGTATCTTGGCCATAGGCGAATTTAATATGTTCTCAAACGTGAAAATACTTATGCAAAACCTGTCGAACTTCGACATTTTTTAAAATACTTTATTTAATAAACTATGTTTTTGAGCAGAAATCAATAAATTATCAATTATCGAGACTTGCATTTGAACGAGTGTCGAATATGAAAATATTAAAAGTAAGATAGTGGACAGTTGTATGAAGGCGATACAAGTGGGGAAAATGAAAATTCATGTCCATATTTTCAATTTGAAAATAACACAATCAGTATTATAACTTTACAAAAATGTTTTGAATCAGACTCAAATTTGATTGAAATACTTTGCAGATTTACCTATCACTACTTGATATACAATAAAAACCGAAAAATATCATGCTTTTCTTAGTTTTATCTTAATTTCCTTTTTTTTTGTTTTGAAGGCGAAGGGCAGGTAGTTTTTGGACGTATGATCTGAAATTTAATTGTTATTGGCTTTATTTAATAATTACATAATATAAATTATATGCATTGTTTTTAACTAACAAAATCTGTGATATTACCAATTTCGAGCATTTATAATTTAGTCAACTTAATGGCACATTTCGGAGGTTGTCCTTCGAGCGACCAATAAAAAAAAACCATTAGTGTAACCCCTATATTTTGGGGCATTTCTGTAGGTAGCTAAACTAAGCTTGTAGGTCAGAAGGGGATGATGAATACAACGTGGTGGTAATTTAGATTTTTCTGAAATATTGTATATAAAAAATGTATAAATTACCACCGAGTGTATTATACAGGAGGCACTCGTTTCGTAAAATAATAATTACTATAATAATAATAATAATATAGTGGTTTCAGGTAATTACACAGAACAGCACGTCTTTACGTTTAATTTATTTTTTCTTCCACGTTACAACTTTTAGCGACATTAAGTAGCAGCTGGTGCCTGCTGAGCCGCAATAAGGTTCATTCACTATGGTAATTTGTTATCATTTATACAGGCATGTTTACCTATAAAGACGATAACTTCCTGCCTTAATATTTGACCATGAAACCATAATAATGTTAACTGTTATCTATTACAGGTTTCTATCCCCCCGTTTAGTTATATTTAGTAATAATAATAATACATTAATCAGTTTAGGCTCTGCGGACAAATTTTGTCGTTTTACATGAATACCATTAAATCCGTCGTTTTGTCTGTACTCGATTTGAGTGCGTAAATATTTCACAGCTGTGATTGTACAAATCCGTTTTATACGTCATAACTTAGAATTCAATGAATTCAGTTGAATTTAAAAGCAAAAGAAATTTACTCTCTTTTTTTTTTTTATCACCTTTAGCAATGGCGGATAATTTGTGGCGTTTTGTTTTTTAACTTTGTTATCAGTTAGTAGTTACATTCGTATTGCAATATTGCGATTTTTGTTTTTTTTTTTTAAAACGACGTGGTGAAGCAAAATTATTGAAAAAAACCCTCGTAATATGTGCACCTCAGAAAACGGTTTGATGTTTTATTTAAAGTTGATTTCGTGACTTACATAATGGGAGCAAAAGATTCTAAACCGAGTTGCATAACATACGAGGAAGCAATTAAAAGAAGTATGTTTGAGTTGCTTTTCTTGTTTACCTGCTTGCATTGTGTTATAATAATTCGACAACGTTTTTAGTAAGCGACTCCGAATTGAAGAGGCTGAGAGAAGCATTTAAAAGACTGTCGCCGGTTAACGGATTTATTTCTAAACATTCATTTATTAAAGAGGTTCTTGGTGATGGAGTTCCGTTGTCAATTGCAGATGTAGGTTTAATTTTTGTTCATCTCGTTCAGTAAACTTACAGCCAATTTGTTTCAGTATATTTATTCTGCCTGTGGTGGTGCAGTCAAGGGGATCAGCTTTAAAGATTTAGTTTGCGGCCTGGTACTGCTAACACTTGGCACCAACGAAGAGAAATATAAATGTACGTTGATAACTATACGAGTATAACTGTTATGTTGATTATTCCTTATGAAGTGTTAATTATCTTTAATTTTAGTTTTATTTAACTTGTATGCCAATGAAAATGAAAATGTTATTTTGCGGGAAGACTTTCAAAGACTCATTCAAGTGTCTGAGTGTATTTTCGTACCAGAACATGTCACTACACTATTTCTCGAGGTAAGATAATAATTTTTTTTTTATTACTAGTAGAATCACAGATAAGATTAATGTTATAATTTTATCTTATCTGTGGTAGAATCGTCATAATATAATTAATTGGTATTATAAATATTAATATTTTAGCAAGATCGGGTTAGCTATGATGAATTTAGAACCTGGTTGACTTGTCATCCTGATGCTACATCATTGAGTAGATGGTTATTGACCAAACCATGTTCTGTTACTTTAAGTAATGAGTTGGAAATGCCTACATTTTATCAAACACTTGCTGGTGTGACTCACTGTAAGTAATTATTAAAAAAAGAAATGTACCGTTTATAAAACTATTATAATTATAATATTCCAGGAAATATTTTACTTATATAGTATAGGGTTATTGTTATTTTATTAAAATTAAATTAAACAATTTTTTGTTGTCCAAATTATTTATTATGTAAATTAATCATACTAAAAGGAAATTCAATACAAATTTTACTTTGGAAAAAACTTTCACATAGTTAAAATATTATAATTTTTGTTGTACAATTATTTTACAAGTTGTATTAAAATAATTGGTGAGTAGGTAATTTGTCTTTTTCTAAATTTGTCTTTTGGGAGTTACAAATTTGCTAAATAGGCAAAAGATAAATATTATAATATCTGCTCATATTGGATACAATAATTTATTATCACAAACTTTTTTTCTTTTAAATTCTTTTTATATTTTAGGTAAATTTGATAAATATGCAAACTATAACTTATATTTCTCAAATAGGTTATTTATTATTTATGACCGATTAAATATTTTTATTTCAGTGGAAGAATCCGATATAATTGAACTCGAGAAATGTTATTGGACATTGAAAGGAGAATCTTCATCTGGAAAATTGGATTTAAAAACATTGATTCCCTTAATCAGCCCTCCAATGCCATTAAATGTTTGCTCAGGATTGTTTGCAGCTTTCGATGAGAATATGGACGGGCATATTGATTTCAAAGAAATGGCTTGTGGTATATCAGCTGCGTGTAGGGGACCTTTAACAGAACGACAAAAATGTAAATAAATCAATAATAAAAATAATAAAAAATCATAAATAAAATGATAAAAAAACGATTAAGTAATACTGCAATATTTCAAACAAAGTTAATTGAAAGCTCCAAGTAAAAAATGTTTGTACAGTTGTTAGATTCAAATTTAAAACAACTTTTCCAACCCCTTATTGTAATTGTTTAAAAGTAAACAAGACAAACAATTTTAAAAAGAAATACTTAGCAAATTTTGTTTTATTTAAAAGCTTTAAATTTTTTTTTACAGTTTGCTTTAAAGTGTTCGACAACGATAAAGATGGTTACCTATCAAAAGATGAAATTTCAAAAATGGTCGACGTAATGCTTTTTATTTGCGATGACAACATAGTTACTCAAAACAAATCGGCTTCAGACGAATCAGGTTTAAACAAATTAATACGAAACAAAATCAACATTCTTATGAATTTAAATTTTAATATCATTTTCAGTTAAAGAACTGGTTGTATCTGATTTGATCAAAAGATCTACAGACCGAGGTTTAGCGATCGGAGAATATTTAATGTGGACTGTACATAACTCGTTGCCGATGGATTTTTTAAACTTGATTTTTCAGGTAAACTAAATGTCCATGGCATAATTAAATTATATATATTATAAATTGTCTCTGTTTAAAATAAATAATAAAATGTAATTATGAAATTTGAATTGATAGTATAAGTTAACTTTTCAATTTTTTTAAATAAATGTAATTAGGTGTGCCATATCGTTTTTGGATTGAGACCAATATCCCGTACCGAAGAAGGCGATATCGTCAAAGGATGGTTAGAACGAGAAGAACGCAGAGGCCTAGCTGTTGGTCAACTCTGGTACTTAATTTCTATGGATTGGTGGAGAAATTGGAATGAATATGTTTCTAATACTTCAAAGGTATTTGCGTGACACAATCAATTAGGTTTTGTATTTTATTTTATTTACTCGCTTGTATAATATTTGCGTGTACGGTTTTAGAATGGTGGTGAAATGTCAAGTTTCTGTTCTTTTGAAAGTACCAGTTCATTTTCAAAAACTTCAAGTTTAAAACTTACGTCGAAAAAATCTCAATCATCTTTAGAAAACAGTATTGCTCTTGACAACTCGCCTGTAAGTATATTTAAATTAAATAAATACTGATTTACATTATTTACATTTTTCTTAAACACACTCTTATAAAATGAAGGGTTTTAAACAATTGTGTAATAGTACTTGTGTACTTATTAAAACTTAAAAAATAAAATGTTATTTTTCTTTTAAAGGTGGTTGTTACTGGAATTACTCCTCTAGACCCTAGTACAGGTGGTCATCGGAGAGTTGGGTCGTTCACGTCCTATACGTCATTACAAGAATCGTAAGTATTTTTACTGACGTATTATAATTAAGTAAATTACTTTTATTTTCATTCAAACAATTTTATTTACATTTTTTTAATTTCTGTCATCTTTACTTGATAGTAGTATTAATATTATTAATAATACATACATGTCTCGTATTTTAATTTCTGTCGACGTCTGAAATTTAATGTGTAGAATTTTAGTGCATTTTTTTTTATTTATTAATAATAACTTTTAACTTTAGTCCCACGCAATCTCCAATTTTGAGTAGAAAAAGTCTCAGTAAACCAGGACCAATTAACAACTCTGGTCTGATATCTACGTCGACGACTAAAGTAACGTCACTCACCGGTGAAGGAGGGCAATTAAAACGAAATATGCTATCACGGGGTAGAGATTTTCAGTTGATTCCTAGTTCTTTGTGGAAAGCACTTGTTCAATGGTATAGGGGTTCTCCTGCTCTTCCTAGACAGGTAAAAAACAAGTGTAATGTTTGGAAATTTCTCATTGATAATAAACATCAATTTGTTGATAAGGTTATACAGCGTAGTCGAAATTCGACCGATGTAGAACTGGAGCTTTATCCGATAAATCTAAAATTATTGAAACACCATAACGGAACCTCTAACAACAGCTCTGGATCCAACTCAAGTACAACAAGAACACAAGTAACCAATACGGGAACTTGGTCCGGTTTAGTTGGTGGGTATGGAGCTGCAGCATTAAGTAAGTAAACAAGAAGTTTATATTAAAAGTTTTTTAAAAAAAAAATTTGTTATTACGAGTTTATAATGTATATATTATTTTTAGGTTCAACTGGGTATAATTATGTCTCGAATTTAGTAAATTCAATGCCACGGCGCTATCTTGCGTACACTGCATCGTTCAGCAAACTGGCAACAGTGAAACATGTGTATGATTTCCTTTGTATTAGACTAAAATTAAAACCGGAAGATATGAGACTTTGGCATTTTCACGATGAGGTTTGAGTTGTATTTTCAGTGTAATCAATAAAGTTAAATGGTTGTGTTTAATATTTAAATTTACAACAATTATTTAGAATAATATGGTATTGATTGAAGATGAAGAACAGACATTAGAAGAGTTGGGTGTATGCGATGAAGATCAAATCATAATTGAAATCAGAAACAAAGACCTCACTTGGCCTGAAGAAATTAGTTCTCTTTCTATAAATGCCAGCGATAAGTGTAAACAATGTTAGTGTTTTAAAATTTGTATTATTAATTTTTTTTTTAAAGTTTAATTTTAATAAGTCAATAGAGTAATAATATTTCTATGAATAATTTAACAATTTATAACAGTACCAGCTGAAAAAGGAGCCACTGGATTGAATAACTTGGGCAACACTTGTTTTATGAATGCTGCGTTACAGTGTGTTAGTAACACGAGACTTCTGACACAATATTTTATAAACGATATGCATCTTTATGAACTCAATCGGTATGCATTTAATTTTTTAACCTTGTGTTGGTTAAAACTTAATTTTTTCAATATTTTGTTTTTAGACATAACCCATTGGGCATGAAAGGATGTATAGCCAAGCGATATGGAGACCTCATTCATGAAATTTGGAGAGGAACTGCAAAAACCATTGCACCATTGAAATTAAGAGTATAACTTTTTGTAAACACTTTATTGGTACATTATAAAAAATTAATTTGGACTTATATTTTAAATAGTGGACCATTGGAAAGTATGCTCCACGTTTCAATGGTTTCCAACAACATGATTCCCAGGAACTACTTGCCTTTTTATTGGATGGTTTACATGAAGATTTGAATAGAGTTCACGGTAAACCATATTCTGAATTAACAGACAGCGAAGGTCGCCCTGATGTAATCGTTGCAGAAGAGGTTTGTGTAAACAATAATTAAAAACTTAATAAATTTAATTAATAATAAATTGTCGACTTTTGTGATATCAAGCTTTGGTGCTAAAATACCAAGTTTGATTTCCTCACGGTCTTGTCGTCATAGAGAACAGATTGATGGCAACATCACCAATAATGTTAATAATAATTTTTTTTCAGGCTTGGGAAAACCATATTGTTCGAAATAAATCTATTGTTGTTGATTTGTTTCATGGTCAGTTAAAATCCAAAGTTACTTGTAAAGAATGTGGCCATGAATCTGTTAGATTCGACCCTTTTAATTACTTATCTTTACCATTACCAATGGAATCATATGTTTGCCTCCAAGCCATTGGTAACTATTTGGCTCTATATAATATTTATCAATACTAGGTTGAGTATTTGACTTACCTAATTGAATTTTGTTCTCTTTAGTGATAAAATTGGATGGAACAGTTCCTGTTAAATATGGCTTGAGGATGAACGCCGATGACAAATATTCTGTAGTTAAATCTAAACTTTCCTCGCTAAGCGGGATTCCATACAATAATCTCAAACTTACCGAAATCATAGGCGCACAAATTAAGGTTATTATTTTCATATTTGTATAGTGTTTATAATTATGACATGTGTAATGGCAGTTTTTGAGGTAATAAATTAGTTTAAAAGTGATAAAACCAAATCCTCTTAAAATGTCTTATTTCGCATCCGCAACTTACCGGATGTTGCAGTGAGCAGACATCTGGTTAACCCTTAGAGGGAGCTTTCCCTAACCTAGTTCTAAACACCCTTCTCTTTGAAAAAGTTGGATAGTAAATTTGTTAATAAGTCTACTTCTTGAGGAGGCAAGGACGACCCTTGATGCCCTGTAAAAATATAATAGAAGTATATAGACAATAGATTGTTAGTTGTTACTATTGTTAATATTAGTATAATTTAATTTATATATATATTTTTTTTATATAAGTTTATCGATTGTATTTTTTTTGTTCTTTTATGGGGTGATATACCTAGTTGATAAACTAATACAAAATTACAAGAAGTGCTAACTTCAATTTTAGGTAATTTCTTAAAAAATTGAAATCACTAATAAATAATAATAATTAATAAATATAAACAATAATCTGAACTGTAATAACTAATGTGTAAAATAGATATGAGATTTATATATATATATATATATATTTTTTTTTTATTTATCATTTAAAAATATATTTCCATATGAAAACCTGGGATTAGATCAGATTTAATTCTGCCTAATTGATTTTTAATAACATACTAAATATATTTTGTTTAATTTGAAGACTATTATTATCGATGAACAAAAAGTAAAGCCAGGAAGTTTATTGTACGCCTATGAGTTACCACCACCTACTTCTGTTGGGCCCGGTTCAGAAATGTCTGGTGATGAAGAACGGTTGTCAATTGGATCGACAAGATCGGGTACCCAAAGAGAAGCTGCCCAAACATTTACAACTATACAACGAACAGTTAGACCAGGATGTAATAACAGTAAGAGTATATTATACTTCTTTTTTTGTTATATTGTATTCCATACTTTAATAATATAAATATTTTGTTATAAATGTAAAATGGTATCTAAAGTTATTAACCTTAATTAATATTATTTACAATATATTAATCATAAAATGTATTTTAGCTCAAACAAATGGTAATCGTACGACAAGCTTAAATGAAGACACGCATACGAATGAAAATACTGATGTAAATTTATATATATATATATATATACATACAATAAATCGTATAGATAATGTAAGGATGTTACTAAAACTTCTGTTTAATTTGTTTAGAGCAATGGAGGATCTCAGATAGACGCTGATGTAAATTTAGAAGAACCATTAAACACCATCATGGCTGATAGCGGAAACGGTAGCGCCAGCAGTTTTAGTTTAACGGATAGTGGTGAGACGATTCATCAAACGCCCAACTATGTCATTGCATTACATAGAAAAATGGTACTGTTCAAATATATATTTTTATTTTTTTTGTTATCTAAATACTAAAATCGTGATTCTAGCGGGAAAAATAGCCGACTTCAAGTAGGGCAATTGACCGGAACGAAAATCTTTAAACGCGGTTGGTACCGGGGGATGCCTTTCGGTACCGCCGTGCCGGACTTATAGACTATGTAGTTGGATTTACTTTGTCCAGCAAAATAACGTATAGTGCTTACTGTTATAGATTTTTTGTTTAACAATCTAATTAATTTGATCATTCTTATCTTTTATATCGATTACTTATCATTTGATTATTATTAAAATCATTCGTTTTTTCCCATAACTAAGTAACATATTATTTAACTCATTGATAAACAGAAATAAGTCACTAGCACACGCAGACATGGTCTGCGCTATCTCACTAGTTATTAGATATTACTGCATTGTTAATAAAACATGATTATACGTCAATTTTAATTACGGAACTGTTGCAATTTTATAGATTAGACAAGATGTATATTTTATATCGGCTCATAAAAGTAAACCCAGTATTTTTGGTTTACCCATAATACTGCCTTGTAACGAGTCTACATCGAATCAAGATCTTTATCAAGCTGTTTGGCTTCAAGTGGCTAGATTGGTATCACCGTTGCCACCGTCCGAATCGACAGTACCTAATCATGCTATGGACTGGTAAAAACTCAATAGATCATACATGAATACTACACATTAAATACATTTTATTCATTTTGGTCTTATAAATTGTTGTATTCGTTTTAGTGATGATAGTTTGGGCTACGAGTTTCCGTTTGTTTTAAAAGCAGTTAATCGGGAAGGCACAATGTGTGCATGGTGCCCATGGTATCGATTTTGTAGGGGATGCACAATTTTATGTTGCGATACCGAGTTTAATTTTGCCGCTAATCATATAGCAATAGATTGGGATCCGACGGCTTTACATTTACGATATCAGACCTCGCAAGAATCGGTATGCAATGTACCAAAATAAATAAACAGTTACATGTTATAATGCAATCATTTTTTTTAAATTAAGGAACATGAATGTGTTGGGGAGCCTCAGAGTTCACACACAGAACCAATTAGTTTAGAATCATGTCTCGCCGCGTTCACTAAAGAAGAACACCTTAGTGAAGCTGAAAAGTATTATTGTTCTGCTTGTCAAAAACATCAACTAGCTTCTAAAAAATTAGAAATTTGGAGGTTACCTCCCATTTTAGTGAGTGGACTATAGCCTGTTACCATACACTATACAAACATTTATATTACTATTTTATTTTTTCTAGATTGTACATCTCAAACGATTTCAATACCTACAAGGCAAATGGGTCAAATCTCACAAAGTCGTAAAATTCCCATTCAATACGTTTGATCCAACGGATTATTTAGCATCGGTTCCAAAGCACACAGTTTTGAGAAGTAAAGAATTGAATGACCAGTCTGAGAGTTCCAGGTAAATTAAATAATGCACGCTTTATGGTTGTTGTAATCTTAGAATTGATAATTTTTATTTTTTACAGGGGAAAATATTCAGAGAATGATGATGAACACTCCACAGATTCCACTGTAATTACAGGTAAAAACTCATTGTAACCACGTTAATTTGTAAGACTGTGTATTAGGCCAGATATAATAAACTATTAATCACTAATAACACTTAATATTAACACTTAATCTAATTATGAAAATTAGTGTTATTTTTTATGTATTGTTCGTTTCACCTGAAAAATATAACACTAAAATTAGATGTTGTTTTAATTATAGACAATGGTTTATTGAGTGTAAGTGGCCTAAGGGGAATAGAAGGTTCTCATCGTAAAAGATTAGAGTCGACGTCACTTATGCGAACGCCCATTGATGATACTGCGCTTCAAGACTTTCATCAACATAAATTAGTCCACGAATGGAATCCTTTAGACTTAAAGTATAACCTATATGCTGTTGTGGTAAGTCACACGAAATTACATTCCCTATTAGATTAGTTATATTATATTTACAAAATTCCTGAATTATGACAAATGGCAGATTCAACATTAAAAACAATTTATTTTTTAAATTAGTGTCACTCGGGAATTCTTGGAGGCGGACATTATGTATCCTATGCTTGTAATCCGAACGGAAAGTGGTATTGTTACAATGATAGTAGTTGTAAGGTAAGATATATATATATATATATTTTTTATTTGTTTGTTTATAATTCCAATTTTTTTGAATAACAGGAGGTCACAGGTGAAATGGATACGAGTGGAGCATATATGTTATTTTACGAGCGAGCCGGTCTGTCTCATGATCAGTATATGCCTAATGTATCTGGTCGAATTCCTGTTGATATCAAAGACCTTGATCAGGATTTTGACTCCGACTTGAAAAAAGTTTGTACCATGATGTGATCTTTGAGCTTATATATTTTATAAACAAAAAAAAGAGAGATAAACTTGGTAATTTTTTTAGTGTAAACATCGTTAATTCTATTATTTCTATTTATATCAAATTTTTATTGTATCCATATAAAAAAAAAAAACAGTAGTTGCCATAACAGTTTGAAATGTTGAAATGATATTTATTATTTTCTTTGTTTTAATTTATTTATTGCCATTTGATAAAAGTTACCAATCATAATATTACAGTTTACACATTTTTATTTGTACTTTGTTTGATAAAACATTCCATTTTTGAAACTATTACAATAGTTGTTATATACTATACTTAAGAAAAGTAAAATTTTAAAGATCAAAATTATTGGAACAATTCATATTATTATTCATATTATATTTTATTGCTTTTAACTTTGTATGTTTACATCGTTTTCTAGTCTATTAGTGCTCCCCACAATTTTTTTATAAATATTATTTATATATACATATACATAAATATATGTATATATACATAGATATACATCTTTTGTTATTTTATTTATGTTATGTTTCTGGAATATTATACATTTAATTTTTTATTATTTGTTAAGATTTTGTGTTTTTTTTTTTTTGTTATTTTAAACATGCAAGATAACTATTTTAACTACTTACAAAATACTCGATTACTTGTAGTCGTAGGTAATATAAATCTACTGACTATGGTACACACAGACTTAAATATTGTTATCATATTATTTTTATATTATTATTAATTATTAATTTCAGTGATAAATAATATTTGTATTTTATACATTATCGAAGTGAATGTAAAAATATTTGTAATTTTGTCTTGTGTATGATTAATAAAATATTATACATTGTATTTCATATATTATATTATAATTTTTTTTTTAATACATATAACAGTTGATACCGCAAAGTATTATTTTTTGTTTTTTCTTTCATCATTCTTAATATTGTTTTTGTGTTACATGTTAATTGTACATGTGCTAAATAAAATTTAGTTATTATAATTAAATTAAATTGCTACCCTTAATTGAAGTATTAAAGATCAATGCGTAAAAAAATAAAGTTGAATGAAACATTTTTAAATGTATGCATTTTTAAATTTCCATGCGATTATTTGACATATTTTATTATCTCACACAAAAATAACAATTAATTGTTTTTAATCAACCGATACTACCGTACAGTAATATCATGAGATATTGTATACGTATATTTAACTTCAAGTCTACTTTTTAAATTCAAAGGTAAGCTTTTAATTATGTAAATATAAAATGTATTTATTTATTTATTTACGGAATTAATTCCATTTACAATATATAATATTACAGCAGTTTAGACAAAAAAAAAAAGAACAGTATAAGAAAAACTTACAAACTAACAAAAACATTTTTACAACTACACACTAAATGTTGAGCTAATGTCACTTATACTACAAGAAAATAAATCTAATTTTACTGAATTTGCAGATGACATTAAAATATTTACAACTGAGGATAAATTATAATCAGTACGTATATTTTTTAAAGTAAACAAATCATTGTTTCTCGTAGAATATTTGATGGCAATCAATTTGATTGTTTAATAATTTTAAAAGAATAAACGAAATTTAAATATTTTCTACGATTTCTTAAAGTAGGAATATTAAAAAATCCAGAAACTCCTTCATAACCCGAACGAGGAAGTCTTTCAACATTGCATTTATAAGATAAAAAACGTAAAATAGAGTTTTGAGTTGAATCTAGTATTTGATTTAAAATAATTAAGGAGTGTGGAGACCAAATAAGTGCGGCATATTCCAACTGTGGTCGCACAATAGAAAAATAGACATTTCTTAAAGCAAAATAATTATTAAAATTTGAACAACTCCGTTTTAAGAAAATATTATGTATCATAATATTATATTCGGTTGATAATATCACACACACGCCGACATGGATTGTAAAATACTGCCAATAATAATATAATACAAAATAATATATTATTATTCTGTATACGACAAGGTAAATAGGTGGGTCAACTTGATTTTCTCGGGCGGCCGTGTATTTCTTATGTGAGAGAACCGGCTACCATATTTTAAAAATTGATAACACAAGATGCTGACATACTTGTTTATTATGTTGTGCATGCGTCTAAAAATTTGATAAAAAGTAGAATATTTGTTATCAAGTTCGATATTTTATTGTGTAATATTGTCATAACTCATGATAATGATAAATAAATTATACATAATACTACCTATTATATGTTTTTAAATTTACAAGATATTTACATTCTAAAAAATATACTAATTATAATCACAGCTCGGAATGTTAAAAAAAGTATTGACGTTTTACGAACATATTTAAAACTAATCTAATAACACTAACGAAATTTGTGTGTTTGATTTTGTACATGAACATAATATTACATAATAGTATCAGCTCTAATGGATGTAAGTGTCCAATAAAATTAATATTAATTGCAATACTATTATTGTACAAATTTTTATTTGGTTTTTTTTCTTTTATTAGGATAAAGTGCAATCTGTAGACTCACATGTATGGACGCTTGGTGATTTTATCGAACGACGTAACAATTGGAACCAGCTAGATGAAGTGCAATTAGCAAAATATCTCGAACAATTATCAAAGGTGATAAAAATTTCTGCATTCTTGAATTTTAATTTATCTTATAAGTTATAAACATACCAAAAAAGTTGAAGAATCCTACGTTTTGTTTCTAAAAAAAAAAAATGAATCATTTAAATTATTTTGCTTTATTTCAAATTAAAAGAGTAAATTATTTAATATTATGTAACCTTTTAACTTTCTACTATTATGGAAATGTTTTAAATCTATTTTAACATAATTTGTATTGTAATATCAAAGACAATATGTAAAATCAAAATAATATTAAGATAGAATATTTATAATGATAATTTGTTTTGTTAAAAATCATTTATATTTTTTTTTTCTTAGAAAATTGCTCAAGGTGCAAAATCAACCTTGAATGATTTAGATGATTTGGTAGCATGTGTAGATGATACAGCAGTTAAGGTAGCAAATATTAATAATGAATTCCAGTTGTTAGCCGATAAACAATTCATAGAAAATAAAGTCCAAGAAGAAGATGAGACAGTTCAAAAACTACCTGAGGTATGACAAAGTCAAAATATTAAGTGTTACTATTACTCTACTCCAAGTAATATTTACTATTCATTATCTAACTCGGGGAAGATGTAAAATGTACAGGGAAAGAAATTAAACTTCCATTGCTAATTAAAGAATTTTGAATTTTTAGTATTTTGTGGTCATAGCCAAAACATCACAAGTCTCATTCAATTAAAAATTCATTATTAAATTTTTAACTACAAATGGTTTTAGCTTCAATGTTATTTTTATGCATTCATTTGTTTATATTTTAGAAATCTGTCGAAAATAAATTTGATGGTGCTGATACGCTAGTTGACGACTTAAAGACAGCTGTGAAAAATAGTTTTAATGTGATTGAAACACATTTTGATAAAGTCACTGTTGTTATTAGTGATTCCGACGATGATGACTTAAAGTATGTTATTTTTATTTTATTCATGTATATACTTTTTGAACAATTATTATACTGTAACTATAGATGTAAAATACACAAAAACAGCACTAGTTACATGTTTGGCTAGTTAATGCAATCATTGTTTCATTCTTTTGGTAGCCAGCCGTATTCGCAATCCGCCAAATAACAAGTCGATAACCTAGTCGAGAAAAATACAACTTTTGTTAAATACGAATAAAATGCATTTATTGTATAATATATTTGATTGATTTGTTTTAGACACGAAGAAACTATTTTGAGACCACGACATTTTTACAAGAAATTACGACTACCTACAATAACTGGAAGTGTACAACCTGAGGAGATAGAAACTAACAACATGTCTTCCGATTCAGAATCTTACGTAAAACAATCATCGAAAAACGAGGTGAATCAAGCATATTGTTTAGATTAAAGTGGTTACGTATAAAATTCCAAAAAATAAATTGATATTGAAAAAGCAATTGATATATTAGAACAAATCTTAACAATATGACATATTATAGGAGTCATTGTCCAGCAGTGATGCTGAAATTGTTGATGACATTCAGTCAATTAGTAAAGATATTCCAATAAATCAGCCGTATAATGAAAATGCTCAAAAGGTCAACAGTCAAAATATAAGCTATGAACCGAAGACTCCGGTATCTATTCCACAGACAACAGATAATGATAATGAGGGTATGTTTTTTTTTGTTAATTGTAGTTGTCATGATTTTATGATTAATAATAACTAAATTGGATAATTATTTTTCAACAGATATATTCAGTCCACCTCCATTGAGCTATGATAATGACGACGAAGATGATAATGAGTATAATATGTTTGGCCCTAGCACTAATGACATGTACGGCGAACAGAATTTGTGGGAAGATGATTACGAAAATGATTATTCAAACGAGCCACCTTTGCCCGTTTGTCCAGACGATCTTCCTAAACCAATTCCACAACCTAATGTAGAAGAAAAAAGCATAATATCTGATGTACAACAATCATTGAATGATGAACTTCGAAAACGTTTTAATAAAGGTTAATTTTTTATTAAATTGAAAAAAAAAAAAGATTTATGATGTGCTTGTTATTATACTATTATAACTGTACTCATGAGTCCTATGTAAATTGTTGTTATGTAGAAGACATTTCTTCAAGAGAAGATATAAACGAATCGCAATCAGAACTCCCCAGAAAAAAAGTAAATATTTTAAGTTATGAATGTTAAAAATGAATGATCATTTTTTGAAATCTAAATATTAATTATTAGATACCTAAAGGAGCGGTCAATATTCTTGGCGGACCTTCTAATTCAGTTGTACGTCATATTGATAACTTGTCTTCAATAATTGAGTATGTCCAAAATCAATATTTATCAATATTTAAGTATTAACTGTAACTAAAAATATAAATAATATAGAAAACCAATTTTGTTTTTTTGTTTTAATTAAGACCACCCAAGGAGACGTTATCAAAGGATACGACTAAATCAAATCAAGCAGCCGATAATCATGAAAAAATGATTTCCAATAATTTGACGGAAGATAAAAAGCTTCCCGTTATAAATAAAGTTAGCAAAACCAAAAAAGTGCGATCATTTTTCGATGTCGATACCGACTCGGACGAAGAAAATTTCTTTGCTAAAAAAGCTAACGTGACTAGTGGAAAACCTGTAAATTCAAAGAAAATAGAGACTTCTGAAGATGTCAGAAATGTCGTGGGAATATTCTCTGAATCTGATCCCGATGAAGATTTACCTATATCGCAACCAAGCAAAAAAAATGTTGCAAGTAGTCATACCATAAAATTATTAGACTCGTCGTCCGATGATGATTTGTTTAATGTAAAACCTTCTAAAAGTAAATCCGCATTGACTTTGTCCAATAATACTGATAAAAATGTATTTGAAAACTCAAAAGCTAAAGCACATGGAGAATTAAAATCATCTAGTGAACACAATCGAACCGAAAAAAAGATAATAGATAATAATAAAGATTGTCGTGTCAATAGTTCACCTATTGTTTTAGATAATAACAGTGTATTAAATAATGAAGTAAAGTCGTCTGATGCGGAAAGTGTTAAACCACAAATAAGTAACACAATTTCAACAACAACAAAAGAAAAGAAAACATCTAGTTTTCTTTTTTCTTCAGACGAAGAAGATGCGCTATTTAATGTTAATAAGTCTACAAAAATCATTGATGGCAACAACGTTTTACCGTCTCAATCACATACAGTGAATATTACCAGCAATGTACTGTCGAATGTACGAAATGAATCAAAACTAGACTTATTTGATTCGTCATCAGACGATGATGACCTGTTTAATATGAGTAAGTCAAAAAAAAAGACTCCATTACCAGAAAAAACACAGTCTGAAAATACTGCCAATATTCATATAAATGATAATAATGTGAATAATAAATTTGAATATACAGAAATAATTGATGATAACTCGGATAAAATAGAACGTTATTCTGTTTCCAATTCAATATTTAGTGAAAACCAAGATTTATTATCTAACAATAGTATTAGTTCTAGTCCAACTACTCCGGTTATGATAAAAAGTAATATGAATTCTTCGTCTGATGAGTTCTTTAGTCCAGTATTACGAATCGAAAAAAACAGCGAAGAAAAAGAGCTTCCTCAGCAAATATCTGTAGATTTACTAAATGACATTGAATGTGTTTTAACCGAAAGGGACAAGAATGATCAACGAGAACAACCAATGGCAACTGAGCCTAATGATAATAATGTGTCATGGGTGCCAGACAGTGACGGCAAACAATATTCTACACCCAAATTCGATAGCAACATAAAGAGCTCTGAGAACGTAGAAAAAACCACAGAAACTGATTTTGTTCCAATCTCAAATGCAGATTACAAAGATTCATCAAATAGCGATTCTCCAGATGGTTCATCTATGAGTTCACAAAAATTAAAAGATGAATCTTCAGTGAAATTGCCAGGTATTATATTTTATGAATTATTTTTTCATTATTATTATTTATAATAATCAGCTTTTGTGATAGTTTCAATAAATTGTTAAGTGATTATGGTTTTTTATTTTTAGGAAAATTGCATAAAAATGCAGGTGCTTTTATAAATGTAGCTAGTTTACTACCAAATTCTAAGAAACCATCAAAGTTATCAAACGTTTCCTCGAACACCGAAGAAAGTACCCGAGAAAATGATTTACCGAGTAATGAAGCAAAGTTGTTTAGTGCTGGAAAAGTAAATTAACTATATATAAACTTATTTAACTTGTGTTTAATTAATTAATTTATTTATTTAGGATCGAGCTAAAATACAGGTAAAACGAAGACCACAAAGTCGTAAAGCCAGACAAGCCGCTGCTCGAATGTCGGCTGTAGAATACAGTTACGAACAAAATTTACAAGTACAGTCTAGAATGTTTGGTTCCGCATCTGATTTGGTCGATTATCACTATAGTCCAGCACTGCTCGATGACGATAACTCAGATTTAAAAAATAATCAAAACAAAATTAAAGTAGTAATAAGTGATAATAAGATAGAGTCTAACGATGAGAGTGTTTCAGATGTAAAAGACGATAAACAAGAAGTTGCATCAAACAGCGATTTAGTTAAATTAAGTGAAGACAACTGTAAACAATTTTATTTAAATTTGTCCGATGGTGATGATGACGATGACGATATATTTGAATCAAAAAAAAAATTATCGATCAGTCATGACTGCCAAGTGGAAAAAACCTTTAAATTTGATCAGTCAGAAACATCAAGACGAGAAGCTGATGATTCCGATAGTAAACTTTACGCCACAAATACAATCAACAATACAGCCAGTACATTATTCGTGGCTGATGACGATGATAGTGATGATTTATTTGGATTGCCGAAAACACAACATACAAATAATAACAAAAATGAAAGTGAAACTGAATCGAAAGTACAACAAGTCGAACCAAAGACGTACAGTGAAGAGACGCCTAAAAACGAAGTCAGCTCTGTAATATCGGACGATGAAAATGATGATATAGTTAATACAGACAAAACAAATAAACAAAGTGAAATTATTCAAGAAGAAAAAATTGAAAAATTAGATGTTAAAAAATCTGAAACTAAAAGTACAACAAAAAAGTATGATTTGTTATTATCGGCTGATGACGATGATGACAATATATTTTTATCCAAATCAAAAATTGTAAAACCAACTACGTCCAATTTGTTTGACAGCGATGATGATTTGGATTTTGATCAGAAAGCACCAGGCAAATCGAAAAAAGATCTAGCTAAATCTAAATCGCTGTTTGGAGATGACAGTGATGACGATTTGTTTACAAATAAAACAACTACGCCTAGCAAATTTACCTCAAAAAAGCCAACAGGTTTGTTCAATTTACATTTTCATAATAATATATACTTATATAATGTTTTAGATTTAATTTTAGCTTCTAGCCTCCCTTCTTCCCTAAAATGTTTAATTTGTTGAAATGGTTGTCAAACAATTTTTTTAAAATTTTATTTCATAAATTAACAATAGTATGTATAGTTTTATTGATATATACTTTAATATTTCAGAGCAAGTTAAAAATCTACCTAGTCGAGCCGGTGTCGTAAAACTAACTGCTGAAAGCGTTGCCGACAATCCTTTATTGTAAGAAAACTGAAAAAAACTATAGTAAGCATTTGCCATATACAAATTTTAGTGTGAATAAAGGTTGAAAACAATGTTATTTCATCAAATGTTATGTTTACATATAAAATTATAGATTTATTATTTTACCAAAAAAATAAAAATTATAATATATTTTAATTTTTTGTCATTTCTGTATTAAATATTATAGTAAAAAAAATACCGTTGCATGCTTTATATATTCCAGTTAAATGTTTTTTATTATATGGTTTTTTTTTTTAGTATAATATTTTGTTAGTCATCTTATTGTAAATGATTATTTGTTATTTTATTTTTATGTATTATAATAGAACTATTTTGTTTTTATATTCAATACTATTTTATACATGGTTACATTTATATTTTTATTATTGTATTTTTTCTATGTAAACTGTTGTTATCCACATTATCTATCTAAGTGTTATTGTCAAAATATCATAATCGACATTAAACATGATAATTTGTTTTATTTACATAAAATATCATTGATTAAAATATATACACTTGCGATGCTTGCACTTAATGTATTTAAAAGTGATTCGTTCAGTATAATATTATATTATTTTTATCTATGGTACCTTGTGACCTTATCTGAGAGCCACATATTTTCAAAACAATTATAAATATTAAACTTGAATGGCGGAGTAAACTGATAAGCAGTCGTAATAAGGAATCGGGAAGCTATCTTTTATACATATCGTAAGTCAGTACCGATTAAATCGGTTCAGCGGTTTAAAAGCTAAGGAGAAGAAAATTACACTTTGACCGTACTAAAATTTCTAGATTGCTTTGTGAGAGTAAATGTAAATCGATAGTCAACAGTAAAAAATAGTTTTGTTATGTTGTTGATTCCGATTTATATGAGAAACACCGGTAACAAATTATTGTGCACAGACGATCTATCGCCTAACCTTATCATCCCTAATACTCAAAATATAATTTTAAGCACATCATAGCTTTTACAGCACTATTATCAGCAGTTTTGAAGATCTGTGACCTCCCCCCCCCCACTACACACTGTATTGGTATTTTTTTTTCGATTTTTAAGGGAAATCGACCGAATTGGTTTAGCCCATTGAACGAAAAATCGATTTGACATATTATTGTAATTTATTTTGTTACACATATTTTGGCGGGCAAACCATATATTGTTCCATGACCGGCGGCCGCTCGCTCGGTTGTTCCATGAAACGTTTTTGTTGGTGGGACACGTCCTTTACGGAGACCGTACGCGGTACGCTCGACTCTCTCCAACCAACAGACCGACTACACCGTACGCGCCGCACCGCCTAGCCTACTGCCTAGCGGATGTACCGTCGTTCGCGCAAACTCGTCCGTCGTCGCGCACACGGTTACACTATTCTCGTATATTATTATACACGTACCTATTATCGTACACTGTGGCGTAGCGTAGTCGGGTGCATGTATATATATACCATAATAATATAGTAGTGGTAAATATATATATATATATATACACATCATACATATATGTATGTATCTACACGCCGTACGTATGTATACCGTATATATATATATATATATTTATATATAAGCATATATGTTGCATTATTACATTACGTTTTGCCCGTCGAGGTGTTTGCATCTTTTGAAAATCGTGCTCGCGTATATTGATTACAATAGTAGTAATATTATTATAATAGACCGTCGGCCGTTTGTCGGGCAGAAAGTTGTCGTGGAAATCTCGCCAGGTCGATGCGTCGTCCGTCGCCGTGTCTACTGTGATCGCCGCCACTGCTGCCGCCGCCGCATTTTCCCGGTCGTTACAGCACCAGCGCAAGGCGGTCGTCGCGCGCTCCGTGCACAACACACTTGGGCCGACACCGAGTGCAGTGAACTTCACATCGATTACGTCAGCGCGTGCACAGCCTAACTGCCAGGGCGTTATTTTTTCGGTTCGCCCCCTATACATTTTTTTTTTATAGATTTTATTTGTTGTTTTTGTCGTGGTTGCCGAATTTGTTTCGTTTCGTTACACGATTAATCTTTTTACGCTCTTGAAAAAAAAAAAAAAAAAATATATATATATATCCATATATATGTTTAATAAATAAATAATATAGTAAAATTGAAGAAAAGCTCTCGTCAGCGGGCGGACATTTCTGAACGAAACTCGTTTTAATACACACATACAATACACGAGTATATACATATATTATTATTATTATATATATATTCATAAAAATTATTTTTTTACGGTCTGTATCTCGGTGTGTAACTAGGTTTGTCGCAGCCGCCGCCGCCAATCGAAAACCACAAAACGGGAACAAAGGCCGTTCGAGGTACCTCTATTGTCTTCGCGTTAGAAATTCATAGAAAATTCTTTTCAAAATTCCGGTCCCGACGAAGAACTGCGCCTTTTCCGGCCGAAACGACGACGGCAGGATGAACACGACGAAAAGAAAAAGTCGCGCCAACACCAACAACAGCGGCACGGCCGTCACCGCCGGTTCCAGGTAAAAACTAGTTCTCGGTGCAATTCAATATTGACATGTTAAAACAAAAACCGAAAACGGCGAATTTTCCAATTTTCTGGCCGTAATGCGAAAACCATGCCCAAAACGCAAACGGGCACGTTATCGTTTGAAAAAAATAAAAATAAAAACCTACGACGGCTATATTGTTTTTCGCTAATCAATGTCAACAGTCGCCATTTTGTCGGGAATTTTTTCCCACTATCTACGCGCCTACCTTTACCGTAAGCGGTACCCCAGTTTTATTTACACGCATTTTCCGAATTTTTCCTCATCCGCGTTTCTCGTTCGCCGACTTTTCTGCCGACACGGAAATATTATAATATATTTTTCACTCGACGCCGTTTTTTCTTGTGGCTTTTGGGCGTTATCAGTTTCGCGTGTGTTAGGTTAGCAACAATTATACTATTACCTATAATACATTGCCAAACTTAAAACAGAAGGCGTCGCGTAGGAAATGCTGAAGGATCTGTGTGTGTTGTTTTGCATCATTACAGAATATTAATAATATTTTACCGAGGCTATTGTGAAACGCCTAGTGTTTTCTCCTCGGTTTCATTCAAGCAGTACCAACTCGTCAGATAGAGTGCTGTGTTTGCAGATTCTGTTATAAAAATGGTTTTGATAAAGTATGTATTACCTACCTAATTATTGTTGGCTATTTTATATTACGACTATTAATATAGGTAGTAGGAGTATTATTGTTGTGGGTCGATTACATTTTTAAATTTTGATTGTGCCGGACATAACATTGGGTACCTACACTTTTTTTTGAAGGCCTCTTCTTTTGTTAGGTTATTATATCGTCTTTTCACAAATCGGTATAAGACTGTTTTGTGAGTATATAGTTAGATTCAAGTTACGGTCAAAGTACCTAATCATTATGATTCCAAATCTTCAGATTAAGAATACATTATTTACATTTTTTCGACTTTTCTCTTCAGTAGTACATTAGTGTTTTCATGTCTCTTTGAAGTCGTAAGGTGTACGCTAGTAACAATGCATAATAGGCTTCTCGGGTATTGTTACTAATCAAATACATCTGTAGCCTGTATGTATTTGTATAAACCCACTGATATTTTTGGTTTAATGTAAAACGTGAAATAATTTTTACAGGCCTCCCCGAGCCAGAGCTTCATCTTCAAGTGGAAATGGAGTCAACGTCCAAGTAACTGGTGCTGATGGAATATATTTAAATGAAACGTTTATGCATCGTGTTACAAGTTTGATTGGACTCGAAGTCGAAGTGAGTATAATATAACTCTAGAGGAACAATATATATTTATATGAGTAAGCTTATTAATCGTCTTTTTTTTTATTTGCCTCCTTTAGATATTTACTCATTCAAAAGAAATGTACTCCGGTATATTACGCACATTTTCTAGCAATTTCGATGTCGTATTAGAATTACCACATAGGACTGATCCTCCACCATCCAGTCAAACCGTTGGTTTACAAATTATAGCTGACAAAATGATATTTAAATATGACAGTATAGTAAAAATTACTGCACACGATACAGACTTAGACAGTATGACTCGAAGTAATGCATCATAGTTTTTCGTCCCTAAATCCAGAGATATTTTCATTTTATTTATTTCTAATCTAATATTTCAGACACATTCCAAACAGATACTACAATTAGTAAATATAATGGCCAACCTCTAGGTGAAAAAGTGTTAGAAATGTGGGAACCGCCAACGATCAACGGTGATCTAGAAGAATTTGATTTAGGTTCTGGAAATACTAATGCAGTAAGTAACGTGTTTTTTTTTGTAATAACAATAAAAAAAAAAAAATATATATATATACAAATAGAAAACATTTTTTAAATAATGTCGTTGAACATTATTGTAGAATGGTTGGGATGCAGATGACATGTTTAGACGCAATGAGCAAGAACATGGTGTCACATCTTCTTTTGATCAAAATTTAAGCGGTTACACAACAGAACTGCGAACGGATGTGTCAAATTTCAAGTAAGAGGCCTACCTGTGTTAATTATTTGTAATTGTTCATGTTACATTTTAGTTAAAGTATTTTTTGGAGCGAAGCTGAATATAACTAGAAATTATTGTATAAGAAATAGTTGTGGTTGCGCAAATAGCAGAAAAAATGAGTGACAATAGATGGTCATGGTTTTAATAAGGATTTAGAAGTAGAGGTAGATAGAGAATTAAAGGTGTTGAGGAATTTGGGGTAGACTGAGAAATAGTATGAGAGTAATGCGGAGGAAAAGGTTTTTGCTGGTCGGCCCCATCTGTCAAGAGGTAAGGTGTGGAAGAAATATAACAATTTTTTTAGACCCGTATCGTTATACTTTAGCTATATATATATATATATATATATATATATACTTAGTACTTTAGCTTGTTATAATCTGGCACATCAGCTCGAAATTCATATGTAGCGATACATTTATTTATTATAATAGTATATATATAAAATTAAAAAAATATTTTAGAAATGAAGAAGCAAAAGCTGCACGTTTAGCTCGAGAAATAGAAAGTAATCCCAACTCACAAAATCGAGCTAACCTTGAAAATGGAGACGAAGAAGAAAGGTATTATTTTTTATTTGGCCTTACTGATGGATGTATAATATTATTACAACATTTTTATTTTTTATTTCAGGTTTGCAGCTGTGTCGAGACCTAATAACGATATGTCCAACAGCCACAATGATAGCAAATATATGTCTGGTCGTCGCAAACCGAGTTCACAACAGTCATCTACAAATGCTTACGGTTTGTTCAATAGAAATCGTAAGCATCCGGAAAAGTATCCAAGTAGTGGGTCCAATGAACGATGGGAAAATGTTTCTGGTTCAGGAGTTAAAAACAGTAACCAGAATCGAGGACACACTCATCAACAAAACGGCAATAGTAATGTAAACAAATCTACAGCGCCACCATATCACAACAGTAATACCAATCAGTCGTATTCGACTAACAATCGCGAGTCGTCTTTGTCTGTAAATGGTCAAGCTGAGAAACGTTCTTCGGTTGCTGCAAGTAATCGAAGAGAAACTCCCGCTTCTTCGTCTGGGCCTAGGCATGGTAGGGGTTTTTGCTTTTTTTTAAATATAATTGATTTTATGACTATTAATTGAATATTTTTCCCCCTTTAAGCAACGGGTAGAAGTAATTACTCTTCCAACGACAATCAATCATTACCTCCTTCGTCTCGTTCTTCGCCTCCAACTGTCCAAGGACATCACAATCAAATTACAAATATGCCTCCGTCTCGGTATCAGACGAGCACATATACGCAGCAAACCAACGCTGCAAATTCTCGGCCAAACCATAGCACGTCATATGCTGCTGCGGCCGATAAATCTATGTCAAAAACTCAACAACCCCCACCACATCCCCCCCGAGGTATTTTTTCAAAAGAACCACTGCATTTTTGCATTTTACATTTTAAAATTAATGATTTTATTACTTATCTTGCTATGATTCTTACTGTATCTCACATGGTGGCGCGAATACAACCCCAGATTAATGCCTAGTGGGGCTGTATTCGCCCTAAAAAATAATTATTAAATATTAATCTGCATAGTAATGTTGAATAAGTATTTATCTATTTTATTTGAATGTTTTTGTTCAGTCAATTGCAATTTTGAAATTGTTTTTAAAACTGTTTCCCATTAATATTATTCAGTTTAATTAATGTGAAAAAAATCCAGAATAAATTAATTTTTCGAGTATAAGCATGAAAAATTAATAAAATTATATGAAATGTGTCGTCAATATATTTAAAAAGATACTAATTTTTGGTATACATTTTTTTTAGTGAGAGATGAGAGTCTTTCATCAGAGTTAAAACGATTTAGTACCGATTTTAATTTATCAACGGCACCCCCTCAAAACGATCCTCGAGTATCATCTCCAGCAGCCACTGTTGTGCCTGAAGTGTCTTCGAAGCAACATCCTGCTCAAGTACCACATTCCGAGCCGCCACCATCGCAGCCTGCACAGGAAGTACAACAACTGCCTAAAGAAACGACTGAACCTGTGGCGTCTCCACAACAAGTATTTAAACCTCAATCGGAAGGACAAATTGAAACGGTTGCAGAAGTACCGATAAAAGACAAACTCGAAAAACCTTCAGCAGATAATTCTAATCAGTCACCAGATAAATCCGTTGTACAAACTTCGAAGCTCAACCCCAACGCCAAAGAATTTGTCTTCAATCCAAATACAAAACCTTTCATTCCAGTAAATAAAATATTTGTTTATAATTTGGCTGTAACTGGATATTATGATGTTTTCAATTTATTATTTCATTCAAATTAATACAAATCTTTAACCTTTTGCAGAGGTCACCGAGTACTCCGAATTCGTCTAGGCCGATGACTCCTCAAACACCTACGACTAATATTGTTGCTACGTCTGGACCTCATCAGCAAATGATTCAAGCACAACACGGGCCGGCAATTGCTATTCCTGCAGCTTACCATCATCATCACCATCATAATGCTCCCGGTAGCGGACAAATGGTTACACATCAAGCACCGCCACATCCCCATCCAGCATTTACCATGTTACCTACTGTGTTTGTGACGTCAAATTCTGCATTCAATCATCATCCGCATTCAATGCCCCCGCAACCCCCAAATCAAGCTGGTAGATTCCGTAAAAGTAAGTATATTTGAGAGTTTCAAAAAAAACATCAACAAAATATAATATATATCTAATTAATCCATTGTTTTAACTCTTTTAATGGTTTTATATTCCAGTGACCGTAGGCATGTCCCATAGAGGTGATATAGCTTCTCAAATACAAGTAGCCGCTGCTACCGGACAACCGCTTTTGGCTCCGGCGCCTCTTCAAGCTCAATTTGCTGTACCGGGTTATAGTCCACAACCGATGCCTACACCACAAGCTTATCAGCAAGTTCAGGTACGAATATATTATAGTAAAGAATGACAAATCATTTAAGTTTTGATGCGAAACTCTGTGTATTCAATTTTTATATCTAAAAACACAATTGCTAACAATAGTTCTTATAAAATGTTGTGTTTCCTATTGATTTTTACTTATTGTGATTTTTGTTGGTATTCATATTTTTAGCTTTGATGCGAAGTTGAAAAAGTTGATTTTACAATAATGTGTTTCTATTTTTTTATTTTTTCTCTGGACCCACAATCATTTTTAATCTGCTGAACCGATTTCTTCATGGATCAGAAGTCCCTGAAAGGTACATAATGCCGAAAATTTCATCCCATCCCCTCTTAAATATATACCAAATATAAAGATAAAAACTGTCACACAGGAAGGGTAGACTTTTTCTTAAATTCGCTTTTTTAGGTGTAGTTTTTAAGGCTTAAGTTCTGAAAGTTAGATTGAAGGTAGTTTTAGAAAGGGGCTAGGTTAGGTTGATTTACAATTTTCTCAAAAATCTGTAGTCAAATTTTTTTCTTTATTAAAAATAAACCAAATAAAAAGTTGAAAATTAAATTGACTAGTAAATTTCTAGGTTGTTGAGTGAGTAAATCAACAATGAATATTTATTTTAAACAACTTTATTATGTTGTTAATTACGATATATGGGAAACAACAGGAACACATTATTATTGACTGATAATCAACCGTAATTGTAATCACGCTTATACTAAAAATACAATTTCTAGCGCATTTTTGACATTGTGGCTTTTATCAAAATTGTATTTTTACTGTTTACAGACTCGCATCGAAGCATTTATTTGCTATAATAATTCTTGTTGATCTGTACCCCCCCTCCCCCCTTCCAACACATTGTTTGTCTTTAAAATTATTTATATTATATAGTTTTTATTATTACATATTCGCATCAAACTTTTTTTTTTCTCAAGTAATAGCCAATCTGGGATTTTTGCATCAAACTGTTTATTTGAAAACGATTATATCACTTTCTTTAAGTTAAAAGAATTCCTGAAGGCTTGCAACCTTATCACCCCAACTATTGCCTTACCCCACTGTGCTGTTTTTTAAATTGTGTTGTATTATTATTGTGCAGATGGTCCGTATGGTACCGCAACAGGGTGGAGGAATGATGCCTACTTTAGTGCCAACTTCGATTAGCTACCATCCCGCCAACGCCGGTCAAATTGGCCAAATAGACAATGGAGTACCTCAAGGGCCGCCATCGTACCACCATCACCATCATCACCAGGCATCGCAGCATCACATGATAAACCAACAACAGCAACAAACTGCGCAGTCGCCGGCACCGCAGCCTGGTGGTCCGCCACAAACGCCCGGTCAATCCCAGACCCCGGTGAATTTCCAACAACCCCCACCGCAGCAGTCGCAGCCACCCCCTTTCCCCGCGGGCACTACAATAATGTGTCCCATTCTGCCGTCAACTGCCACGTCACAACCACCACCGACGTCTAACACACCAGGGTCGGCGCCGCCAATGCAACAGCCGCCGCCGCCTCAGCAGCATCCCCAACAGTATATTTCGCACCCCCACCCACCGCACCCACATCAAACAACGCCGGCGCCCACACAACACGGCCAGTACCATATATATTCAACCATTCGGGAGTCATGAGACACAGCCAACTCATACGATCCTAGTCCACGTTTAGTAAAAGCAATAATAAAGTGAGTATTATTTATTTGTCAATGGAGATTATACAAGAATGGAAATTACAGAGAAAATAAAATTAATGTCATAATGTAAAGATTCATGATGATATAGAAAAAAAATTGGAAGTGAGACAGTTGTATGCCAAGGAAATTGACCATATGTATGGTTTTTATAGATTTAGAGAAGGTATATGACAGAGTGTTGACATAGGTTTTGAAGTGAGTGTTAATGATAAAACGAGTTTGTATATTAGTTTGATAGAGGATATGTATGAAAGTTCATATACGAGTATCAACAATATGTGGGAAATAACTGAAAATTATAAGGTTAGAGTAGGTGTGCACAAGGGTTCTGCATTGATCCCTTACCTGTTTTCTACATAGGTTCTGCAAAAGTGTGGTGACTATGTTGTGTAATTTGGAGTACAGAAAATGAGTGAAGCGGAGATCAGAAAGTACGTTCTTAGTTTAGTACTTAGTTGATTGGAGTGACGAGAGAAGATGAGAAAACAACAAACACTTAAGAGGTAGCTTAGGCGTGATTATGATAGCGAACAAAAAGTAAGATGAAATTAACTGAAACTGTTTTTGGGCATGTTATGAGGAAAGAAGAATCAGAAGCAGGAAAATAAATGTAGGAGAAAAAGAGTGTAAAAGGAAGACCGAAAAAAAAGTTGCTTGATGCTATTGAGAATGATATGTGGACTACCAGATTGTGTCCTCTACAGGTTTAGGACAAGGATGGATGTCCCCAAATGGTTAGGATGTAGAAGATACAAAATGTGTTCATCAAATTTTAACTAAAAAAAAAAAAATCTTACTGATATTTTGTTATATGTAATTTTAGTTATTCGGCGTTATTCAAGTCTTGCAAATCAATTGTCAGTTCTACCCGAAAATCTTGATCGAAATCTGCCTCAAGATCTAATAAATTCGCCATCATCGACATAATGATATAATAACTACGTGTTAGCTTTAGCTAAATGTTGTTCAGTATCTGTTATAATTTATTTATTATTATTATTTTCTCGTTCTTTTTAAAATGATTATTATTATTACCTTTATTATAATTTTTTTTTTTTCATTGAATCCTTCCGAGGTAAATTACATTTATTTGTTATGCCAATATAAAGAGAGAGAAAAAATACGAACATGTAATTCATATATAAAAATATATAATATATACCTTAGCCGACATTGTGACCCAAAATGTAATTTTCAATTTTCATTCACTATTTTAAATATGACATTTTTTTGCGGTAAAAAAAGAAGAAAAAAATGTTTCATGTGATTAAAATTACTTACTAGAATCGTCTCTAAATTAGTAAAAAAATTGCATTATATTAGTGCCGGATTGTATTCTCTGACCGACTGATTTTTGTCTTTAAAACCGTGTCGTTTGTAGTAAATACAATAAGGGACTGAATATATATATATATATATATATAATATATAAAAACAAAACTTGTAAGTGAAGAATCGCCGGTGAGCCGAGGATTTGTTTAAACCTCGTATCACCGACGATTCGTTACAAAGTGTTATTTACCCAATTATGTTTTGTGATTTTTTTTTCTTCTCTCGTTTTATTATTATTATTACATTTTTTTTTCTCGAGTCGGTACAATATTTTTATAAACAATTTCCCCTCGTGGTATATGAATTTGCTCGACTTATCTATTTAGTGTTAACGGATTTGTTAGATTGGCCGCAGTACGAACAAAATATTATTATAAAATACATTCGGGAGTATTTCATGTACGTAATTAAAGTATTTACTATTTTTTTTTTTTTTTTTTAACAAATAAATTAATTGTACGTACTGTGGCTAATCTAGGACTTCTAAAAAAATAAAAATTAATGTATTGAAAACTAGGTAAAAAAAAAAAAAAAAATTGTTAAATGCTGTGAGATCTTGTTAAAGTTTTATATGAAAGTCTTATTTTGTATATTTTGTAATGCCACGTTCAGTAAAAAAAAAAATAAATTATAAAGCTATCTCCCGATACTATTTTTGTGTATAATTGATGAATAATATGGTTTTTTTTATACCTACGACTAATGACCGATAATGTTACCACGAAGAAATAATCTACAAACGTAAAAAATCGTTAAAATACAAATGATTTTTTTCAATTACCGAATTTTCGGAATTAATTTTTTTAAATAAGAGGTATGAATTTATCTTGATGCATTAACCAATACTGCCAATGTACTTTTTTATGTTGAAAACTACTAAAATTTTAAATACTAGTTAAACTCTCTTTGCACAGTATTCTTGTGTCATAGAAACCTTGAGACCAATCATCACCCATGTATATATAAATATAAAAAAAAAGGGCATTATTCTGTAAAATTTCAGTTATTTTTCATTATTGAACATGTAAAAAATTCAACAATTTTTTTAATCGTCTATCTCGAAAAATCTATTTGTGATTGTTGCGAAGAGTGTAAAATTATGAACAATACGTTTTTCTGAACATTCAATGCAATATTTAAATTTCAAAATTCTGAGCGGGTCACTTTTTTATACTTGACATTCTTAGTTATTAAAAAAATTGGGAACTTACCCAAATGAAAAAAAAAAAGAAGTTGAGAGTAATTATTTTTTTTTTTACAGTAAACTAAAATAATGATATGATGCGATTTTTGTCATTTCGATTGTGATTATAATTGTTGAATTTATTCCAAGTGAAGAATAGGTTCATCGTCGATCATTTCTTTATTTTTTGTCCGTTAGGCATTTCAAAAAGCCAATTTTTTTTGTTGTAAACATTTTCAGATTTTTGGCTGGAGATAAAAAAACATAATATACCTTCTATATGTCTTCTATACCTTCTGGGAAAAAAGGTTTTATTAATAAATTGTCTTGTTTTTTTTTTCAACCTTTTCATATTGTGGACATATTATAAGAGTAACCCCGAAAAATTGCAACGTTTTTTCCAACGTCAAAGGTGACATTTTTAAAAAATCTGTTAAAGTTTATGACGTCGTTTTTCATGTGAAAGGGATGAAATATTTGTTGAACTTATGGCCTTTATGAATTTATGGATCCATATTGATATTATAACCCAGTGAATAGGAAACGTGAATTATTTACGTTTTTCTATTGGAACACTCAGATCGTCACTGACCTCGAATTTTAAAAAAAAAATTATGGCCCTTCTGTTGCTTAAAATTGAGTCCATAATATAGCTATAATATATTTTATTCAATAATTATATGCTATAACGTTTTAAATGGGCAATATTTATGTACTCGGCCCTGTTTTTTTTTTTAATGAAAAAGTCTGTCCAATCATTATTGGACATTAAAAGGATTACCCATTGGTAATCCTTTTTTGTAAGTAAAAAAAAAATCTAACGTTAAAAAAACATTTAAATCTAACATTGAATTGTCCTTCAATCGAAATCGACGACTGCAGTCGAAATCACTACAACGATTGTCGTTGAAGATAAAATAAATAATAATTAGTTTTTAATTATGTATAGTGATTTATGTTAGATAAGTGTGTATTTAAAAATGTTTTACAAAATCACGTTAAATTATCCTGCAAATGATTTAGCTATACTTGGGAAATATTATTATATTTTGAATACATTTATAGTATTTAATATACTCTTTTAAAAGGAGTACATTAAAAAAAAAAAAATTGCAGAACACCTAAATGTAAATTATATTTTTAATGCATTTTTATGAGTGTTGGTAATACGTTTTGATCGATTGTTTCTTTATAAACAAAAATGCAAAATTAAAAATAAAGTTTCCAGTACAAATAATTAAAAAAGTTATTTTTTAAACTATTAGGCGGGTAATGTGTATTAATTTTTGATCTATCTTTTGATCTAGGTACCTTCGACAAGTATTTCATTTATAATATTGTAATAGCAGGTAATATCTAAACAGGTAATAAATAAAAGTAGGTTGGTGTATCAAATAAATAATAGATTATATCCAAATGTGAGCGTCACAGTATATCCGCAGGTCGCATGTTGATTTGCACATAATTAGAGTACAATTTTAAACTTTTAAAAAATGGATAACAGATAATAAAATGTAATTTTTTTTCGAGGTCGCTCTTCATCTGCCAATGCGAATCGGTAAACATTATAATGGCAATGTATGTAGTTCATATTCTGTGTCTATTATTTCACTATATTATAAAATAATAAATACCAATATATGCTTATAAACTATATTCTATGAATCTATGGATTTGTATATTTATTTTGTTTCGATACAAATACATGAAATGATAAACTACATAGTACATACACATAACCTACATATTTTATTAATTCCCTTACAATTCATTCCCCGCACAATATAAAAAATAAAAATGATGTCGATTTTGTGCGCGATGGTCTTGAACCGTCCTTGTATAAAAAACATTAGTTTAAGTATCTGAAAAAAAAATCTATGTAAAATGTAATTATATATTGTCCTCCGATTTTTCCGAATCTGATTAAACGAACAAAGGCGGCGCTGTTTTTTTTTTGCGGTTATTTCTGCCTATAAAATCGTTGTGGTTGCAATATATTACAACCACAATATTTGGTTTTTTATTTTGGTGAATTTTTACAAAAAAATATAACCATGTGTAACGTGCTTTCCGCATTGGTGTTGGTCTTGGGCGTTGCCAGCATGTTCTTAGAAAAGGCCCAAAGCTGTGTAAGTACCTATATTTATTATTGTCCTATGTCTTATATGTAATAACTGTCAAAATCAAAGCTGATTCCAACCATAGTAAAAAGTCTTATATTATAATTCATCTTACAACCTAATAGTTTTTATAAACTTTATAAACACTATTAGGTTATATAAAATCCAAGTATACTGACGAACTGTAAGTATTTATTAAATTTACAATTTTATTGAAATAGCAAAATACATAAAATCAAAGATTCAACATCAATCATAGATTTTAGCTTTTAGTCTGATCGCTTATGTCAAGAAAAATCTTGTTTGATTTTGGAGAAACTCATAGGGCAAGACACGTGTAATGCAGATGATTGATGATGAAGTGTGTGAGGTTGATAGGCTTAAGTACAAATAAATAGTGGGTACGAGGAGGACGTGGAAAATAGGATAAATTGTAGATGGATGAAGTGGAGGTAGCGTCAGGTGTTTTGTATGACGGGAGGATGCCTATTAGATTGGAAGGTAAATTTTATAGGACGGTAATGTATGTGCGGCCAGTAATGTTCTGTAGGTCAGATTTGAGACGAGAATGCTAAAATGGACGAGTAGAGTGACTGGGGGAGATAAAATACAAAAATTAATAAATAAGGGCGAGTCTAGGAGTGCATCAATTGTGGGGAAAACGAGAGAGAATAGGTTGACATGGTGAGGCAGAGGCAGTGGAGAGTTTCCCCCAAAAAAATAGACATTTTTTTAAGATTAGCGAATTTTTGAAAACCCGATTAATGTCCTTGATATGTTTTTTAGGGCGGTTACGACTTGGAAATCGATTACATGAGGAACTGCGACTCAAACAATGTCATAGAACTTTCCAACAACTTCTCGGTGTCTTTGTCCAAGGACTGTATGCTCGAGTTTAACGGTTGTGTCATAGCACACGAAGACATCACTAGTGCCGAAGTGAGTTAATTATACCTATACAAGTATAATATATATAGTAATTTAATATCATATTCCAAAAATAGAGTTAATATAATGTGCTACACGTTTTTTTACATTACAACCGTTTGCGGTAAAATAGTATTTAAATTTATAAATCTTAACGCCAATCTCCTTGCGTTCATTTAGATAAAAAAAAAAAAAAAACTATTGGGTTGCCCCTCTGTCGTTCGCTTTTCATAAAATTTCAAAGCTATACTCGAGGAGTGTGCTGTACAATTTTGAAATCTGATGGTAAACTCAGTTGAAGGCATCAACCGTGTATTGGCTTAAAAAAAATATATAAAATTACATATTTACCGTCTCGATACAAGGGGAGTTTCTTTCGACCTTTGTGTCTCTCTCAATACAAGTCACTTTGGTATAGGGGGGAGGGGTGGGGGGCTAAATTTACAATAAAAAAAAAAGGATTTTTACCACACCCCACACGATATTGTGTTTTTCAGGTGGAATATACCGTTCACAAGGACGGGGTATCGCGTTCCGGCAAAAAGGACGGATGCCAACAAATGGGCGATAAAGTGCAAGACTTTGAAATCGCCGTGGAACTTTTAGGACTACCGCAGCATTGTCCGGTGAAAAAGGTAGTGATGTCTTGGAATTATAATTTGATTTTTTATCTGACCTAACCTAACCTGGTGATGGGTGTGTGTACAACGCAGAACACGCTGTGTCTGAACAAGAAATCCGTGGACGTGAGCAAGTACAAGTTGAGGATGAACTTGTTGATGGGCCACATCAGCGGAAAATCGATGATGACCAGCGACGGTGGCGGCAAAACCTGTACAGAGTTCTCGGCCCACGTGGTCAACCGCGTGGCCAAAGCCATCCCCGGACGACATTACATACCGGTCATCGGTTAACCCCCATCCCACGCCAAAAATAACAAAAAATACACCACTTAATTTACCAAAAAAAAATATAATTACATTAATTGTCATCTTATAATTATTATAATACACGTGTCGTAGTTGTCAAACCGACGAACAAAATAAATAACAATAAACTGAAGCAAAATACAAAAAAAATACCTGTTGTCTGTTGATCTCTTCGCGTTTACTACAACCTATGCATAACGGTCAAAGTGCAGTTTACCCGTTTTTATTATCCTAAAACAAAGTTTGACTAATTATTTTCAAGAAAATCGTTCACGGTATACCGTATAGTAGTTACTCCGGATCTACCCTCAGTCTAATTGTCCGTCCTTATGAATCCTAAAACTACAACTAAAAAAAAAAAAACCAAAAAAAGAAAAGAAAAAGTTTCCACCCCTTTCGGAGGAAACTGCTACGGACAGTAAACAGTACAACGGCGCTTCTTCAATTTTTTTAATTATTTCATTTGCAAAATTTTTCAATTTTATTTTTTAATATATCACCACTTATTATTAATCTGTCGACTAAAAAAGTTATATTCATTCTATACTGCGATCTACTATGTATTTATACGAGTACGAATATTAATAATGAATGTTAATTATAAAAAAAAAAAGACATTATTTAACATTTCAAACGCCTTTAATAAATATTAGTGGAGGTGGAGTAGGCTTAAAACGATTGTTATTATACAGTTTTAGAAATATTTAAATGTACAATTATAAAACAAAAGCCAGCCCAATTGGGTTGGAACACAGTACTGACTGGTGACCTTTTACTTTTGATTATAATTTATACTTAATTCAAAATCTACAATTTATTCGTATTTAATCAACTTGATTGTCTTCGTGTGGTTCAGGTACAAACATCCATTTGATTGAAACGTAGGGTTTACGATGTGTCTCGTTGTGAAAGACATTCATATCATAACCATCTTCGACGAGACTCGAATAGTTACAGTCCTTTTGGTCAACGTGGTTGAGTTTTCCAATATTTAACTGAATTATATTTAAGACCAACTGTAAATTAAAAAACAAACAATACATTTTTTTAATTGAAAAAAATCAGATTTAATTTATTTATTTTTATTTTTATTGTAAAACGATAAATATCAATAAAACAAAGCAATTTTTATTTTGTATTTACACTATTTAGCAATTCTGTGTCTAAGAATTTCTCTGTTCTGGATAAAATGGATACAAAATGTTTGAAGCCAGGGCCATCTTGCTTTTTTATGCACATGAATACTGTCGCGTAGGTTACATAGTCGGTGTTCAACACAATAAAAGGTGATTTCGTAAATTCAGGATCTGCAAAGTGTATCAAAAAAACTACCAATTAGGTATCTATATATATTATCAAGATTCGCCTACTCCAAAAATTTAAAAAAACGCACAAGTATTCATTATACAATTACTACTAATATATTTTTACCATCGTGGGAATAAATAAAATAAACTAACCCTATTTAAATGTTTGTTTTAAAAGTATAAACCGGGTATTTATCATGATTAGACATGATTAGTAAGTACGTAAGTCTAGTTAAACACTTAAACCACTAGTTTTTGCATAATTAGGACTTTTTGCTATCTAATCAAATACCCGCTTATACTTTTAATACAAACATTTAAATAGGGTTAAGTTATTTGATTTATTTTCACGGTAATAAAAACATATTAGTAGTAATTTTATTATGAATACTTGTGCGTGCATAAGCGCATTTTTTTTTGAAGTAGGCGAATCTTGAGAATTAAATGTTTCAGTTTCACGTACTTGAATAATCATCTTTAGGATCAGCAAAAAGCATTTTTGATGGTAAATCTGAATTGGTTTCCAATAATCCATAAAAATATCCGTAATTAGTAATAGATTTAAACCTTTTGACATTCTGTCTGTATACATCATACGCTACGCATCTCGTATATGGCATCGTCGTTTTAAGGACGTACCATGATCCATAAAACTATAGAAAAAGTGACGGATTAATACTAGTACACAGGAATATATTAAAACGATATGTTTAATATAGCTATATTTAAAATTACAGTTTAGTTCATATCCGATAACGATCGTAGTGTTATGGTTTAGGAATATCCAAATTTGGTACTCGATTGTTTTATTTTGTTATTATATACCTAACCTGTCAAGTATAAAATTCAATACACGAACTTACATTTTCCATTTCGAAACCTTTCATAGGCTTTAAATCAAGACATTGATGACCCGAAACGACATTTATAGAACTAACTAGCAGCGCGGATAAAAGACACAAGACATTGATCTTCATTGTACGACCGTGTATATAGACGCGTAAATTGAATAATTTTAAAATCTAAAAAAAAACAATTCAATTCAATTACTTGAGTCATCATCGTATATACCTTAAGCTTAACGATCCTAATAAATAGGGCTTTCCGCTCCCCTTTTAAGAACGTGTAGTAACAGTTTTAGGTCTTAATAAACTTTTTTTAACCACAAAAATTTGTTATTTGGCCACTGTTGAAGTTTTTTCCACAAAACATCCAGAAAATATTTTAGCTTTGATGCAGAACTGAGAGGCTATTACTATGATGTGTATTAGATGTCCCTATTATAATGGTCTTTTTTGAGGTGTTATACTCACAAGGTCTCAAACTACTCTAGTGTGTCAAAAAAAAGCCCTAAAAGTTTCAATGCTCCAACTCATTTTTTTACCGTGCCGCTGAGCTGGTAAAGTTACTTATTTAAATAACAGGGGATTTAGTAACTCTTTTTGAATATATTCGGAAGACATAAAAAAAAAATCTTAAAAATATGAGACCAACGTGATTTGCCTGTGTTTAACACGTATTTTAAAAAAAATTAGTCGGCCATTTTGCGCATGAGCAGGGTCAAAATATAGAGTTTTCCTAAACAATTTCGGGTTTTTTTCATATAATATTACGGGTTAAAATAAATTAGAGCATTGAAACTTTTAGGGCCTTTTTTTCACCCACTAGAGTAGTTTGAGACCTTGGAAACATAAAATTTCCAACAGCCACAAGTATTTGTTTAAATAATAAAATTATTAAGAATTTTAATTTGTAACACTTTAATTAATCGAGCAATTATGTACGCCAGAAAATGACATCTGCGATAGTAATTTTTTATCGAAAATTTGCCATAATATTTTTCCACTTCTAAATGATCCGCGAATATTGCCTATCTTTCGCGCCTTAAAATATAGCGCTGTCTGTTCCCCTTAAGTACGCGTAGTACGAGTTTTAGGTTTTAATATTTTGAATACTTTTAAAATCTAAAAAAAAAACAATTCAATTCATTTGCTTGAGTCATGTATCATCGCGTGTACAGTAAGCTTAACGACCTTAATAAATAGGGCTTTCTGCTCCTCTTCAAGAGAACGTGTAGTAACCGTTTTAGGTCTTAATAAACTTTTTTTTAACTACAAAAATTTGTTATTTGACCACTGTCCACAGTCTTTTACACAAAAAATCCAGCAAAATATTTTAGCTTTGATGCAGAACTGAGAGGCTATGTTTACTATGATGTATATTAGAGTGTCCCTATTATTATGGACTTTTTCGGGTGTTATACTCACAAGGTCTCAAACTACTCTAGTTTGTAAAAAAAAAGCCCTAATATTCGCCATAATATTTTTCCACTTTTAAATTATTCCGCGAATATTGCCTATCCTTTGCGCCTTAAAAAATAGCACTGTCTGTTCCCCTTAAGTACGCGTAGTACGAGTTTTAGGTTTTAATATTTTACTTAAGTTTCCTTTGGCCGAGTAAAATTAAAAATTGGTATAAAAACAATATTAACTATTTTCTCAATATTTCTAAAATTGTTATTTTAACTAATTTTTAAGTATACTGTTTTTATGAATAGACAAATGATTGTTTAGATATAAGTTAAGACATAGAACTTAATTGGAATTAGTATGAAGAAATATATTGTTATTATTATTATTATTTTTTTTTTTAATATATAGCTCCTAAAAAATAATAACAATGCAAAGACGTTTAAACCAACCACACCTAACCTCACTGTCCCATCCATCTTAACTTTACTAACTTTAAAAAAATAATCAAATGATTATTGAATAAGTCAAAATGTTCATTATATTATTCTTTTTTTAAAAAGCGTATAAAAACATTTTGAGGGGGTTCAACACATAAAACTTTGTGAACAAATGAAATTATATTGTAAAAGAAACACTACAAAAAACAAAAATGTTATTTTCTAACTAAACCTATGTAATATTTAATGGACTTTTAAAAAATCACTGTATACAATAATATAATATATATTCAACTAATAAGATATTATTAACAAACCATTCGACTATTTTTTAAAACAAAACCCGAATTAACGCATTGTATAGAATTCTTTTGAAAAATTTGACGTTTAATATTATTACAGAGTGAGCATATAAGAAGCAACTCAACTAAGTTTTCTGACTACCCAATTTCAACCTCTGAAAATGTATTACGCATTAATCATAATACTTTTTACTTGATTCATTATTGATTTAAAGCAAAATAATACAAAAAATAATCAATAGAGGAAAACATTTTTAGAGAGAATATCAGATAATTTTAAAAAAATACTTGGAAATAAAGTTATGGCCATTGTAATAAAGTAATAAATAAATATATATATATATATATATATTGCAACCTGATTTATGCAAATTCTCATTCCAACATTTTTTACACAATTCATTCAAATAAAATAATTCTTATAATTATTTTAAGAAATTATTAAAATGAAAAATGTTTTGAATGATGCACAACTCTGATTCCAATACTACACTCTAAGCCAATAATAATTAAGTTTAAAATCTTAAAATGTTTTTTTTTCAAAGTATTTGAATATTTTACCATTTTTTGATTAAAATAATACTTACGGCTTTTGTTTGATAGTGCAGCTTGCTAAATGATGTACGGAATTTTTACGCAGAGTTTAAACACATTATTTTTGGTTATTAGTTTTACACAGTATAGAGATATTGTCAATCCGACAATACGTTGTCGTACACGTGTCTGCAAATCGTTCGCACAAAATATATTGTTGGTGTATAATATTGCACGACTTTTTTTATTTTAGATACTTAACTAAAGTTCATATTCAAAATCGTATACACAGGTCGGTCTGGTGGTTAAGCTTAGTACACAATAGCTATCCGTTTGTGGCTGTAGATGGCGATACAATAATGATGTCTGATTGTAAGTAGCCCTTTCGAAAATGCTATATGCATCCAAAAGAAGCTTTTATGATGAGCCTTAACTCTCAAATCCTTTACCGCTTGGTATTTTCAAAAATTACCAAAAAAAAAAAAAATCGTAGAGTGGGGAAGGGTTAAAGCCTATTAGGTAAATATAGGTGTTAGTAAATATTATTATGTTTTGCTTTTATAAATTATTGAACACTAACTTTTAGGTCGATTTCGGCCTACGACTGTTCTAAAAAATACATTTAACTTATGAAGACGGGGTTTCATACTAGTTAGTCAGAATAACCTTGTTAGTCGGTACTTGTGTAGTTATACATATATAACAGTAAACAGTATGAGCTACAGCAGTTCTTATTCCTTCAGTCTAATTTTTTCTTCTAACAATTTAAATGTGCGTCAGTAAAATCATAAAAAAATACCATTTCTTTCTTGTAAAATTATATTTTCCAAACGAAATTCAAGGAGACATTTTGATTTAAACCTTATTTTTTAAAAAGCATTTTTATAGTTTCGCCTGACAGAAACCGAAAATCTTGTAATGGAATGGCTCATAATTCGCGTAGCGACCAATATTATTACATGAATTGTTATCTTATACGGTATACCTAATTATAATACCTACACGACGCTGTCATAATGCCGCCGCACCAAATTTGTAACTGATGAAAATCAAAATAATTACAATAAACTACTGAAGCAAAGTTTGACTAATTTTCACAAGGACGGGGTATCGCGTTCCGGCAAAAAGGACGGATGCCAACAAATGGGCGATAAAGTGCAAGACTTTGAAATCGCCGTGGAACTTTTAGGACTACCGCAGCATTGTCCGGTGAAAAAGGTAGTGATGTCTTGGAATTATAATTTGATTTTTTATCTGACCTAACCTAACCTGATGATGGGTGTGTGTACAACGCAGAACACGCTGTGTCTGAACAAGAAATCCGTGGACGTGAGCAAGTACAAGTTGAGGATGAACTTGTTGATGGGCCACATCAGCGGAAAATCGATGATGACCAGCGACGGTGGCGGCAAAACCTGTACAGAGTTCTCGGCCCACGTGGTCAACCGCGTGGCCAAAGCCATCCCCGGACGACATTACATACCGGTCATCGGTTAACCCCCATCCCCCGCCAAAAATAACAAAAAGTACACCACATAATTTACCAAAAAAAAATATAATTACATTAATTGTTATCTTATAATTATTCTAATACACGTGTCGTAGTTGTCAAACCGACGAACAAAAATAATAACAATAAACTGAAGCAAAATGCAAAAAAATACCTGTTGTCTGTTGATCCCTTCGCGTTTACTACAACCTATGCATAACGGTCAAAGTGCAGTTTACCCGTTTTTATTATCCTAAAACAAAGTTTGACTAATTATTTTCAAGAAAATCGTTCACGGTATACCATATAGTAGTTACTCCGGAACTACCTTCAGTCTAATTGTCCGTCCTTATAAATCCTAAAACAACAACTAAAAAAAAAAAACCAAAAAAAGAAAAGAAAAAGTTTCCACCCCTTTCGGAGGAAACTGCTACGGACAGTAAACAGTACAACGGCGCTTGTTCACTTTTTTTAATTATTTCGTTTGCAATATTTTTCAATTTTATTTTTTAATATATCACCACTTATTATTTATTTGTCGACTAAAAAAGTTATATTCATTCTATACTGCGATCTACTATGTATTTATACGAGTACGAATATTTAATAATGCATGTTAATTATATAAAAAAAAAAAATCATTATTTAACATTTCAAACAATGATTTTGTCGCATAGGCCCCCGTGTAGTCAAAAACGCCTTTAATAAATATTGGTGGAGGTGGAGACGTGGAGTAGACTTAAAACTATAGTTAATATATAGTTTTAGAAATACTTAAACGTACAATTATAAAACAAAAGCCAGCCCAATTGGGTCGGAACACAGTACTGACTGGTGACGGAGCGTAGGACAATATATTATCTATTTTAAAGTGATTAATTAATTAATAACAAAACAATTCTCAGAAATTTCCAATTTTATACAGTTTTTTATTTTGAAATATTATCTGGTACAGTTTATATTTATTAAACAAGCATAATAAATACATTTATACTAAGCTAAAGATCATCAATTAAACAAACAGAATTGAGAATTTAAAATGTTTGTAGTATCGTTGATTTTGAATTGAGTGTAAATTATAATTAATAGTAAAAGATTTTATGAGAACATTTTGTATAGCTTACATTAAACATTGCTAAAATTTAAATGAGGGTTAGCAACAGGGTAAGCTTTATATTGTCGAACTATAAATCTTTCGAATTTATTCGTATTTAATCAACTTAAACGTCTTGCTGTGGCGCAGGCTGTGGTGCAAGCTGTGGTGCAGGTTCTTCCAACCATTTGATAGAAACGTAGGGTGGTCCATCTTCCTCGTTGTCAAAGACATTCGTATCATAACCATCTTCGACGAGAGTCCAATAGTTACAGTCCTTTTGGTCAACGTGGTTGAGTTTTCCAATATTTAACGAAATTATATTTAAGACCAACTGTAAATAAATAAACAAACAATACATTTTTTAATTGCAAAAAATCAGATTTAATTTATTTATTTTTATTGTAAAACGATAAATATCAATAAAACAAAGCAATTTTTATTTTGTATTTACACTATTTAGGAGTTCACTGTCTAAGGCATCTGTTCTGGATAAAATGGATACAAAATGTTTGAAGCCAGTGCCATATTGCTTTTTTATGCACATGAATACTGTCGCGTAGGTTACATAGTCGGTGTTCAACACAACAAAAGATGATTTCGTAAATTCAGGATCTGCAAAGTGTATCAAAAAAACTACCAATTAGGTATCTATATATATTATCAAGATTCGCCTACTCCAAAAATTTAAAAAAACGCACAAGTATTCATTATACAATTACTACTAATATATTTTTACCAACGTGGGAATAAATAAGATAAACTAACCCTATTTAAATGTTTGTTTTAAAAGTATAAACCGGGTATTTATCATGATTAGACTTGATTAGTAAGTACGTAAGTCTAATTAAACACTTAAACCGCTAGTTTTTGCATAATTAGGAATTTTTGCTGTCTAATCATGATAAATATCCGGTTTATACTTTTAAAACAAACGTTTAAATAGGGTTAAGTTATTTGATTTATTCCCACGAAGGTAAAAACATATTTGTAGTAATTTTTCTATGAATACTTGTGCAAAGCGCATTGGAAAATTTTCGGAGTAGGCGAATCTTGAGAATTTAATGATTAAGTTTCACGTACTTGAATAATCCTTTGTAGGTTCAGCAAAAGTCATTTGTGATGGTAATTTTGGATTGGCTTCCAAAAATCCAATATAATTTTGGTAATTGATATTATTCATTAAAATTGTAGTATTCTTTCTGAATACATCATACACTACGCATCGCGTAAATGGCATCGTCGTTTTAAGGGCGTACCATGATGCAAAAAACTATAGAAAAAGTGACGGATTAATACTAGTACACAGGAATATATTAAAACGATATGTTTAATATAGCTATATTATAAATTACAGTTAAGCTCATATCCGATTACAATCATAGTGTTATGGTTTAGGAATATCCATATTTGGTACTCGATTGTTTTATTTTGTTATTATATACCTATACTGTCAAGTATAACATGCATTAAACGAACTTACATATTTCATTTCGAAACCTTCCATAGGCTGTAAAACAAGACATTGATGACCCGAAACGACATTTATAGAACTAACTAGCAGCGCGGATAAAAGACACAAGACATTGATCTTCATTGTACGACCGTGTACAATAGACGCGTATATAGACGCGTAAATTGAATAATTTTAAAATCTAAAAAAAAAACAAATCAATTCAATTACTTGAGTCATCATCGTATGTATACAGTAAGCTTAACGACCTTTCAGAACGTGTAGTAACAGTTTTAGGTCTTAATAGACTTTTTTTAACCACAAAAATTTGTTATTTGGCCACTGTTGAAGTTTTTTACACAAAACATCCAAAAAATATGTTTAGCTTTGATGCATAGCTGAGAGGCTATGATAACTATGATGTATACTAGAGTGCCCTATTATTATGGAATTTTTCGGGTGTTATACTCACAAGTTCTCAAACTACTCTAGTGTGTAAAAAAAAAAAGCCCTAATATTTGCCATGATATTTTTCCACTTCTAAATGATTCCGCGAATATTGCCTATCCTTTGCGCCTTAAAAAATAGTGCTTTCTGTTCCCCTTAAGTACGCGTAGTACGAGTTTTAGGTTTTAATTTTTTTACCTAAGTAGTTTCTTTTGGTCGGGTTAAATTAAAAATTGGTATAAAAATTGAAACTAGCTCAATGTTTCTGAAATTGTTTTTTTTAATAATTTATAAGTAAATTGTTTTTATAAATAATAGACAAAAGATTGTTTAGATAAAAGTTTAGACATAGAACTTAATTGGAATTAGTATGAAGAAAATTATTGTTATTACTATTATTATTATTTTTTTAATATATGGCTCTTAAAAAATAATAATAATGCAAAGACGTTTAAACCAACCACACCTAACCTCACTGCCCCTCCATCTTAACTTTACTAACTTTAAAAAAATAATCAAAAGATTATTGAATAAATCAAACTGTTCATTATATTATTCTTAACCCAATTTCAACCTCTGAAATTGTATTACGCATTAATCATAATACTTATTACTCAATTCATTATTAATTTAAAGCAAAATAATACAAAAATAATCAAAAGAAGAAAACATTTTTAGAGAGAATATCAGATAATTTAAAAAAAATACTTGGAAATAAAGTTATGGCCATTATTATAAAGTAATACATATATATATTGCAACCTGAGTTATGCAAATTCTCATTCCAACATTTTTCCACAATTTATTCGAATAAAATAATTCTTATAATTATTTTAAAAAATTATTAAAATGAAAAATGTTTTGAAGGATGCACAACTCTGATTCCAATACTACACATTAAGCCAAATAATAATTAGGTTTCAAATCAAAAAATGCTTTTTTTTCAAATTATTTAATTGTTTTACCATTTTTTGATTATAATAATACTTACGGCTTTTGTTTGATAGTGCAGCTTACTAAATTGATGTACGGAATTTTTACGCAGAGTTTAAACATATTATTTTTGGTTATTAGTTTTACACAGTATAGAGATATTGTCAATCCGACAATACGTTGTCGTACACGTGTCTGCAAATCGTTCGCACAAAATATATTGTTGGTGTATAATATTGCACGACTTTTTTTTTATTTTAGATACTTAACTAAAGTTCATATTCAAAATCGTATACACAGCTCGGTCTGGTGGTTATATGTTTAGTACAGAATAGCGATCCGTTTGTGGCTGTAGATAGCGATACAATAATGATGTCTGAGTAACAATAAATAATAAAATAAAAATGTATATTTGTAGTTAGGCCCCTAACACTATCCGCCAATAGAATTGTCTATTCTACAGTCACAATTTGTTTTCAATGTTTTTATATTATTATGTTAGAAAACAGAAGTTTACATATTTTCATGCATCAACGCTAATAGAAATAACGCAAATATGATGAGCCTTGTGGATTGTAAGTAGCCCTTTCAAAAATGCTATAAGCATCCAAAAAGATGCTTTTATAATGGGTCTTAACTCTCAAATCCTTCACCGCTTGGTTAGTTTTAAAAATTACCGATAAAATAAAATATTCGTAAAGTGGGGAAGGGTTAAAGCCTGTTAGGTAAATATAGGTGTAAGTAAATATTGTTATGTTTTGCTTTTATGAATTATTGAACACTAACTGTTGAGTCGATTTCGGTCTACGACTGTTCTAAAAAATACATTTAACTTATGAAGGTGTGGTTTCATACTAGTTAGCTAGAATAACCTTGTTAGTCGTTACTTGTGTAGTTATACATATATTACAGTAAACAGTATGAGCTTTAGCAGTTTTGATTCCTTCAGTCTAATTTTTAATTTAAACAATTTAAATGTACGTCAGTAAAATAATAAAAAAATACCATTCCTTTCTTGTAGAATGATATTTTTGAAACGAAATTCAAGGAGACATTTTGACTTGAACGTTATTTTTTAAAAATCATTTTTATAGTTTCGCCTGACAGAAATCGGAAATCTTATAATGGAACGGCTCATAACTCGCATAGCGACCATTTTTAACCGCCGAATATTTGTCAAAATGTGGGCTTGCAATAAGACTTCCTTAAGATATGGACCACATGTGGTTTATTTACATTTTATTATTTTTTTATTATTAAATCCTACAATCCTTCATAATCCAGAACTGTCGTAGGATCATAAAATATCGCCGTTTTAAGAAAAACTAAAATATATTCGTTATAGTAAAAAAAAATGCTTTTAAGATTTTTTTTTATTCAATTGAAAACACAGAATTATTATTGCACGTAGATATAAAAATGTAAACAAAAAATAGAGCAGTCGGGTCAAAGGGGTCACAGATTTTTGGGAATTATTTTGACTTGAAGTGATCAAATTATAAAAAAAACGCAACGATACAAATCAATAAATTGTACAAATATTGCATATTTAATATTATGCTTACAGACAACAAATGCAGTTTTCAAGTTTTCGAAATAGTATACATGCAATTTTTTTTTTGGACTTATAAGTGCAAAAACTAAAAATAACATTTTCTATTGGCTTTATAGATAAAAACGTGTCGATGGTTATAATATGTTTGTTTGGAAAATATGATATAATATTCTAAGAATGCAAACTATGTACATACTAACAGTCGACAAAAACAAAATAGTACTACACCTTTTTGACCAATTATTTGAAACCAATCGAGGAACCGGTTTTGGATGCAATTTTGAGTAGAAACATTTTAGGTTCCAACGAAAATGTTCACTTTTCAACCAACAATATTGAGGTTGCTCGAAAATCGCTTTCAAAAAAACGTTTATAAATGCGAATCTGCAACTACAGTGACAGTGTTTTGTGGTGGATTCACTTACGCAGATTTCCGTTTTGTTTAAATGGGAACCGATTGGTTATATTCGATTAAATGGTGGTTTTCGTGCGGTCAAAGCCGTGTTTGTATCTTGGTGACCTTGAAACACCCTCACCTGTTCTTCAGTCGTTAACCTGCCATCAGCAGGACGATTGTTGTTGTACCTACCGTTGTCGTGGAAGTGCCGCTCAGTCGGAGTACCTGTATCCGTACCTGTAGTCAGACATTGATAACCGTATAGATGGAATAATACATAATATTGTTAGAAATAAAATATATACCGTGTTCGGTTAAGTTAACTATTATGATAATTCGGTGTTCACCGCGTTAATTGATTTTATTGTTTCGTCTTGTTTATGTTTGTGTATATAATATATTTTTTATCGATTTGCAAACATGAATGTAAGTACACAATATGGAAAATTGTATTTAATTTTTTTTTTTTGTAATGTGTTACGCGCAATAACATAATAAAAACTTGCTTTTACGTTCAACACACGCTGTTATTAAGTTTAGCCATTGATTTATATTATAAGTATCATTGATTTTGAAATGTACAGATACGCCGTGCTGTACACAAGAACGGTCGTCGTTCTAGTGTACAGCACATCTGCTCATCTGTACATTTTAATCAATACAATGGTTTAGCCTATATATCTGACTAATTTTGTATTGTGATAATTAGAAACCAGGGAAGTCAATGTTATTTAAATCAACCGACATATGTATGCGTTTATGAGCTAAAAATGGCCTATATAGTATGCACTAATTAAACCCCAGATATGCATTTAAACATTGTTTTCATTTTCATTTTTAATTATTTTTTAATTTGTCCAGACTAAAATTACAATTACAAAGTCTGAAACAAATTCAATATTTTTTTACTAAAAAGATTAATTTAACTGTTTTCAAAAACACAATTGAAACAAACTGTACAAATAAAATAATTGTCAACTTATGTTATACTATAATTCTTTATTTTTCTAAAAAAAAATATATCATTATTTTATTGGTGCTTTTATATAGACGGAATTTAAACAATGCAAAATATTCTGTAAATATCGAGAATATTTAAAAAAAAAATCTATATATATATATAAAAAAACGACGAAAAATGCAAAACAAATTTTTAATATTATGTTTTGTTATGACTTTGAAAAGCAAATAAAAAATATATGAGTTTATTGGAACGCTTGTTTATATTGCACTGGTTGGAGAGCTTAATTTCAAGACATAATGCGAAATTGTTTGAAATTCGTCGAACAATGGCTTAAGTGTTATGGACTTAACGCATAATATGCAAAACTTCACACAAGTGTATGTAAGTTTATTTTTATCATCGGTTTGCCGAGACCTACGTTAAGTCCCAAGTGGGCAGCTTGTCTAAGCCGTTATGGGCTGAATGGACAAATTCGACATTGCCGTATTTATTCTTATTATTTTGTTTTCTACTAATCTTAAAAAAAGTCTTTTTTGTGTATGGAAAAAACCCCATGTATGGCTTTACGGTGAGTTGTTTGCAAAATGTCGACAAACTAGTAATTGGCATCCCTCTAAAGTCTAGTCTTGTGGTAGTAGTTATTCGATAATATTTTTTACTGACTTATTCGACGAAGATAAAAAAATAAAAACCATTTGGAAAATAAAATAATTAACATTGTGGTGGTGTTTTAGACAGAACGAGCGAAATCCAAAATCGGTCGGTGGGTCGATGAGACTATGAAGTAAGTAAGCTAGGACTTCATTACCTTTATAAGTAGTAATTAAGATGTACGGAAATAATAAAAAAAGTACTTACAAAATCGTTCGTAAAGCTTTAACTGTTTCTCTATTCAGTCTTTTGTCGAGTAAAACCATATTTTTTGCAATTTAAATACGATATAATTTAATATATATATGTATATTACAAACGGTTTTATTGCTACCGCAGAATATTAACATGAACCTAAGTGTAGAAAATAATATTCATAGTGAGGATGCAATTCGCTAAATTTGCATTTGTCTAATGGCAAACGCTTCGAGCAAACCTAGTAATTTATTCGAATAAAATTTGAATTGTGATATATAAAAGTAAAATGCATAATACTCTCATGCCCGTGACAAAAATATTTATAACATATTATGCTGTTTTTTTAGCTAAGTAATTTTATTTAATAATCTAATAAAATAATGGTGTTCGAAATTTCAAAATTATTGCAACTGTAAAACAAATTGTCTTATCAAACTTCCATGCAATTTTGGGTGGTCTTAAATCATCATTACTCTCGAAAAGAAGTGTGAACTACAAGCAAAACTGGGATTAACATATACTTAAAAATAACTTTTCACCGTGACCTAAGCTATATTTAAATCATATTTTTAAAATTGTTTTGCCTAATTGTAAAATACAATGGACTAATTTTAACATTTCAATAAGGTCAGTGCGTTCTTTTTTAAATTAATTTTGACTAGGAATAAGCAATAGTTATAAGGCCGATTGAGAAAAAATATTTGGAGTAAAAACGCAAAACAACGTTTTCTAGATCCTCTAGGTTTAGATTATTAATATACAGGTTTACAATTATGTATCGTTTTAAGATCAATAATAATTGGGCTACATTGAAATGGCGATTTTTTAAAATATGCAAACAATATTATTACTGTACGCTCTACTCGCAACCATAGCAACAAAGTCACACAACAAACTTGGATCTATAAAATCTGTCACTAAATACTCGTATTTACTTTAAAATCACTATTAAAGTCAGTAATCAGGTCTGCGATAACTTCTGATAAGTGGATTATTAAAAAATAGAGGTTTGAGGAGGTGAACTAATTATTTTTTATTGATGTCATGAGGGGCAAATTATCATTGAAATGTTTTCCGTTTTCCTAGAACAATCATAACCAAGTTGGCCGAATAAAAATTAATCAAATGGTGAATATCATTAGAAAAATTAAACTGTAAAAATTAGCTAAACGTTATATTATAAAATAACGTTTCAACGTTTTATCGTTATAATCATTTTTAAGTGGGTCAGTTCTTGTCAAATGGTTTCTTATTGTAATGACTTATAATAGTACATTTTTGTGTTTCAGAGGAAAATTCGATAATTTTGTTGGATCGCGAAAGAAAAGCAGCACAAACTTGAAATTGACCAATGGTAAAGTATACCTTTAACATAATATTATAGACATACCAATAGCAAAAATAAGTACTTCGCAAAAACAAGTGTGCCTCAATTTATAATGTATGGAACACGAAAATAAAATATTTTTTAAACAATTTTTTATGCACTTTATGAGTGTTAATTGTCGATGTGGTTTAAAAAAAAGAGTTAAAAGGTCGTTTGCTTATACTTTTTGTACAAGCAATGTGTACGAATGTAGAATGTGTACAATAATGTTCTTCATAATAACTTCTAAAAAAAAAAAATTATGATTTATCAATATGTTTTTCTTGCCGAAATTAGTTCATCGTTAAACCATAATTATTGGGCGTTTAAAAGTAAAATATAAAAAGTATAAAAAAATATATGTTTTGAAAACGATTAGTATTATATTATATACTTTACTTTCTATTATTTGTGTTTAATGTACTTGAAATGTTTATTGAACGGTTTTGTAAGCCTCATAAAAAAAAGGAAAAATATAATTAATCATCAATCGACGAGACATTATTTATTTCATTTTCATAGTACCTCAAAGGATCCGGTGTACTTCATTGACAAGGGATTTTTTTTTTAGTTTATAAGCGGACCATGGCTTTTTAGATGAAACTTACTTAGCAAAAAATAAGGCCTTTACTGTTTTTTTAATAAACATTCTTAATTCAATAATCATTAGCATTAAGCGTAACACGACTATCTACAAAACCAAAAAAAAAAAAATGAAACCAATTGACAAGAACTGACCGCCTTAAAGGATTGAACCCCTTAAAACACTAAACCGACACAAACATCGAATATCGACTAAAACATGATTTAAAAAATAGACTGGTTAAAAAAATAATTAACCAACAACATAAACAACAATTTATTCGAATAAAAAAATGATTATGTCAGTTCAGCAATTTTTTGTCAGAATATCGCAGTGAATGTAAATAATTATTTGGCGAAGCTGAGAGCCTTAAGACACATAGTTATTTACACAGCATGTAATCATCCACTTAAAATGTAAATCCATTTAAAATAGTAACTGATATTATACAAACCAACTTTTGTCTTTTAAATCATAACGATTTTTTTCAGACATTCCAACACCACCGCCCGATTCAGATGAAAACAATGAAGTGGCTTTATTCAATACCGAAATAGATATACAAACGTAAATATATTAATTATTATTATTAAAAAAAAATTCACTTAACTATACGATTTAATACAAATATTAAGCACTTGTGTTATTTTTACGCAGTTTGAATTCGGTTAGCCAAAACGAAATGACAAAACCTCCAGTCACGTTGGACGACATTGATCTAAGTGCGCTGTGTAGTAACTTGACTAGAAAACAACACTTGCAAGATGTAAGACCAACATAATGTCTTAGACATATTAATATTAATTGTGTTCGGTGGTTTTTTATACCCGGGGGAAGGGGAAGGGTGAAATTTCACATCATCAGCAAAATTAGTACTTAAGCAAATTTACACACAATTTTGACATAATTATCCGTGACTCGTTTTATTTCAAATTAATTCTGCTTTTATTTTTACATAGTGCAGCTCAAGTTTAAAACTCAAGCTTAATTGTGTATGTTAAGTTGTAGTTTACGCATTTGTCAATTTTTGAATAATTGATTGTACATATTGTTTAACTGATAGGTAATTGGCGACGAACGACCCGACATAGGTCGAATGATACAAACACACGGGAAGCTACTGATGTTAAATATGGATTCAACCTGCAATAATAAATTACTGTAATGCTCAATTTAATTCATCAAAAAAATATAATCGTTTTAACATTAAAAAAAAAAAAAAAATTGTAATATAAAATTGTATTGTACGAATGATGTAAAATAAAATAATAACAACATAGATGTGTCGAGAGATGATTGATTCGATATTTTTTCCCCTCATAATTATTTGCATCTGCTATATCTCATTTGCAGATGTATCTTTTTTCTGTATCTTCTTTCTTTTTGATTTTAGATTCGGGACAAAGCGTCTCTATGGATTACAAATTTGATCCAGTTAGTACTTTTGGAGAGGGGGGTGGGTAAAAGTTGATAAAAATCACTACTCCACCCTTAAAATCTATAAAACAAATTTACAACTTGTCAATTTTCAAGTTCGACATGCTAGAATTTCGAAAAAAAAATGGCTGGATTGAGTTGAAATTTACTAGAAATACTTATTTGGTGTATTCCTATACTACTATAGTCTCAAATATACATTATATAACATCCATTTCTCACACCACTACAGGGGTGGAAGTTTTTTTTAAATTTTTTAGCCGTAATTATAAATTAATGTTTATGTTATTAAACACATTAACCTATTCATGTTTTACAACTTTTTTAAAATACATTATTTTTTCCTTTTAATATTTTAGGCTGTCCTATTCGAGTATTTATTCTTTGTATTAAGTGTTTTATAATTTTGATGATGGGCGAGTACATTGTACAGCTCACAATTATAAAACATTTAAAAAATCATCACTGTCCAAACCATGTACAATACAAATCAATACAGTATAAGTTACCAAAGTTCGGTCAAATCAACTTTTAAACATGAAACTGATTTCATTACAATCAAACAGGTTGGTCTATTTTATTGGGGTTTTGTGAAATTCCACGCTGGATACCTAACGTTGGGTTCCAAATGTTGAAAAAGTAATTGCCTAATCCTGCAGATGTTTATCATACACCCCATCCTACTCCGAGTCTCCCTATTTACACTTTAAATTTATTATTACACAGAAAAGTATACAATTTTACATAAGTTTCAAATTAAGCTTACTACCAGTATAATCTGATACAAAACCAAATACATATATACTTGTCGAATATTTAATATTAGATTCGTGTGTGATTTCTATAAATATTCGGCAAAAATGTTGATCACCTCGTTAAGAATAATTATCCTAGTAGTACACTCGATTAAAAACTTTTAAAATTAGTATATTTTTCTATTATGAATAAAACCTTGAGGTGCATACAAGGAGAGGGATACTAGGAGAGTAAGATAAAAATCTGGACGAATTAGGGAAATATATTTTTCAACATTTGGAGCCGAATGACGGCTATCCGACGTCATGTCTCATATAATGACCACCCTATTATACACACATAATTTATATTAGCATTTAATCGCGTTTTGATTAATCAATATTTATTTGCTGCTTTATGGTCTGCCCGGCAAGTTGGAGAATCGTCTAACCACATAGACCCCTATAGATCCCCTTTACCCCTTTGGGATTATAATTTATAATCGTGCATGCCAGATAACAACGACGGCTTGGAGTGCTGCCCATTGCAAAACGCGTAGAAGAAATTACTGGAAATTTATACTTGGAGAAGTAATTACTAATACTAGACTTAATTATTGTGCACTCTAAATCAAATTGTATAGTTTGATATTTGTTCTTAGGTCAGCTCAAAATTGTAAAATTACTCAATCGTATGATTTTCTACTTGGTTTACTTTGTAGTCTGTAGCTAATGCGAGTTAAATGCGGGTTTGTAAATGATATTGTCAGTAAATATCGATATTACATGATAAAATACTAACCGCTAATGTAAACTAACAAGCAACAACTAGTTAATTGGGCCTTAGTAAAATAAACATAAATAACCTATCAAAACATCAGACCAGCACTTCGTAAAGAAATTTCACGATAATATACAATAATAATAATTATTATTATTACTATTTAATATAGTTTACAATTAATGCGTTAAAAAAAATCCAACTTATCTGTTTTTATAATGAGCAATAGTTTTAAGTGAAGGCGTTTAATAGTTAAAACATTTTTATGCGATAGAACCTATTATCAATTGACCGTGTGTAAAATAGCTAAACCAATATCTACTTATTAATTAGTTTTTTTTTTTTTAATAACTAAAAGAAGCTATATAATATATATATATATATATATATATATATATAGAATAACATGATGCATTTTTAATTGCACAATTTATAAAATATCCGGCTCAGGTATTATATTTAATTTAATTTAGATAGGTAGAAATTCCAATAGTGTACTTTGGATCTTGTGTAATGTACCTGTTGTAAATAAAATGCCATTCGGTCAGTTTTTTTCTTGTACATCTAAAAGAATAACGCTGAACGATGCAACGAAAAGAACATTTTTAAGTATAGAATACTATTTATGTAGTAGGCGGGTCTTTTGGGAAATAAGATAATATAATTTCTATTTTTAAAATTTCCACCATGTGTGCTTTTCGATACCTTAAAAAAAAAAATTGTCACCGTTAACTTAAGCTAGGGTCGTGTGATGTGATGGCTGGCAAGCTTTTTACGGATAAAAGCAAATACCCCTTTTAGAACCATCTTTGACGGTTATCGCTTATCTAATAATGTCTAGTACTAATGTATTAAGTATAGTGTATTAATTGTATTTAACTGTATTCTGCGTGTGCTTCCGATCATATAACCTCGCTACAGATGACCTTGTCCAAATATGCCTATCTATTTTGAAAGACACATTATACATGATAAATTACCACTTGTATTCATAGCAAGAAGTTTGTTTTTTCTCTCTTTTACTGCGTGTGAATTTTATACAAATATTTTATTGTTTGTTAAATTTTAGCATCATCATTATGTAATGTAACATATAATTGATTTTGTTATTTATTTGTATTGTACAATTTTAATTGTCTTATGCAGTTGTTTATTGAATAGTATGCTGTGCCTTTTGGCAACCCGCATGGTGGACTTTGAATTTAAATTTAAATTCAATAAAAGTTGTATCTCTCACACAGCGCGTTTGTATACAGGTTGAATAAAATCCAATATTTGAATTTTTGGATTCTGAAATCTAAAATTTGAGCTTCGGATACCAAAATACAGATTTTTTCATAATCTGGATTATATATGTTCACAATTTGTTTCTATATTATTTAGTTTTTTTTTTCTAATAGCAAATTAACTTGCCGTTACCATTCGAGTTTCAAAAAGTGATAGAACTCCAAAAATATATGCAAATTTGACTACTGTTTAATAGTATGAAATAATATTTAGCTAAAATGTGTCCGGAAATAAAAATGAGATTTTATGAGCATCTACGTTTAAATGGATCGCCCTGTAAAGTGATTTTTTAATTAACTTCGTTCATTACAATTTGATTGATTAATTTAACAGACTAGAGTTCACTGTTCAATTATTATTATATTTGTAGTTTATCAACTTAAATCATAAATTATTAATCGATATCGACCTATGATACATTATTCGACTATTGACTCGAGTTTAAAAAGTGCACCCCTCCCCGATCTGTACCTTAGGCCAATACTAGATTTGGGCAAAATTGGGTTAGACCATCTAAGGGGATCGAAAAATGTTTGAAAATTGTTCAATTTGAAAACGCAAATAACATTTAATAGTGTTAGTGTTAAAAAAAAATTCAAATATACAAAAAAATAGTTTATACATTTATTTTCCGGCTTTGTTAAATATTTAAATTTTCAAAACACCCTCGAATGAGAGCTTTTTACATATGTCATGTTCAATAGATATAATTGTTAACGCATTTATCTAACCTATCTGCGATCTGCGTTGATCTATCTGCGATCAACGCAGATCTAAGTCGATTTTAAATTAGAGCTGACTTTAAAAACGAGCGTTCTGCTTCACAATTTGGTAAATGTATTGTTAAATATAATATCAATGCAATATATCTGGTACATCTGGAAAAACATCAATAAGTTTTTTTCGTGAAGGAGTTTAGCTATAGCACCACAATAATTATCAATATCTAAGAAAACTAACGATATAATGTAATAATACAAATGAGACATTTCTGTTTTCAAGTTCTTATCGAGATCGTTACTGTAAAAACGAATACAACTAATAAATTAATTAAAGGTTGTTTCAACGTTAGTTTTAAGTTTACCAAAAGTTTAAATTGATAAAAAACAGATTATAACTTATAAGCATGCAGTCTTCACTCTTCTGTCAAGGTCTTGACCCAATTTTCTTATAATAATTAATAACAAAGAAATTATCAACTTCAAACATTTTTCTTCTGTTTAATTTCATTTTCATGTGTTTTTTGTTGGAAGTGTCACTAATGAGTGGTTTCTTCCATCAAAATGTATTCAATTTATCTCTACTTTTATCATATATACTTATTGTGCCCATTGTACAGATTGTATATTTTTTTTGTAAAATAAAAAAAAAAAAATGTGTTTTTTTACCATTTACCAGTCTTTATAGTTATCCATTATTTTTGCACTTTGATTTTTGGCCAAATTTTCATACTGATTCTCTCTTTGATCACTTTTTTTTATTAATATAATTACTAAAATTTTTCCAAATATCTAATAATATTATCATAATTGATAAGTAATACTATTACAGATCCAAGATGACAACCAACACCACCTAGAGTGACTCTTAAATTGCAGCTATATAATTAAAAAAAAAAAAATAAAGCCAACATTTTTCTCGGACCTCTTTTTTTTTCTTGAAGGACTGGGCTATAGCCCAATAACCTTATTAGCTCTCCCCCTCCTTAATCCGGCTCAAGAAGCAGTCAAAATATGTTCAGGATCAAAACGACCGCTTTAAATCTAACATGGGTCGTTCAAGAATAAAGTGCACAGTTCATTAATCATTATCCGATTCGGAATATTGTTAAATAATCATATTTTCCGTTATCTCTTAAAGGTGACGTGTAAATTATGATAAAAAAAAATGATTTCCCTAGTGAATCACCCTGCAACAATAATAATAAAAATAAGAGCCTTTCCGGCGATAAGAGTGATGTTTGTGTGGTACCTACGTTGTTATATATAAAATAGTACGTTACGGGTATAACGCGGCCGGCCGTCGGTCGAGGCGGGGACGATGAGAATAAAAAGAAACGTACAGTAATAATAATAGTAATAAAAAAAAATTATGTAGGTATATAATATATATATATATATATATATGTTGTATTTCGGTAAGATACGGGAGTGCGTTTGTTCCATGTAACGCTCGTTTGGGTCCGCGTATGTTCGTTTATACGTGCAAGTATATATATTTTTTTATAGCTATATAATATTATTTTAATAATATATTAATAATAGTAATAGGTATAAGGCACACACACTGGTTGTGTTTTTGTGTAACGCGCGCGCGGTCAGTTATGCATCAGTTGTGTATCCGTACCGCACTGGCATGGCTGTTCGCGCGTCGTCCTCTGACCGGCCGGCCTCGTCGTCACGTGTTTCCCCGTACCGGTTCGCCGTGTTAGTCCTGACGGTGTTGTGCTGCGGCTGTGTGCCGTCCAATTGCTGGGCAAAAGCGCAAAAGTCCTCGGCCGACAGCCAATGCGGCAACAAGGTGAGAAAGACAGATATATTAGTAAGAAAAAAAAAAAACCCCAAAAAATACCGTACGAGCTGCTGTCTCGACGTCAGCGATTTTTGGGGAAAAAACAAACAATAGAAGCCTTTTTTTTTTTTTAAATTATTCCACTTTTTAACTGGACAATAACCAAATTTATTAAGTTTAAAATTTACGACGAGTGCGGTAGACAAATATAATACTAGGTACGCTCGAAGGGGTGTAGATAAAAGGCGTGATTGCTAGATATTACCACGCGGGAAATTTGCCCCAGACTTGAAAAAAATAAAGTATTCTACCGTTTTAGTTTGTCATATTATAAGTGATAACGTTTTCCAATAACTGGAGCAAATGCGCGCAAAGATAGGAGAATTTCGTAATCTATAACAATCATGCCTGTTTTGGAAGATTCACTTTTCTGGGTAACCTTGAATGATAAAATTAATCATCAATTCGTGTAACTTGTCTATAGATCAGAAATATGAAAGGTACGTTATAAAGTAAAGAAAGTTCACCCCTTCCCTTTGAAAAATTAAAAAAAAACACCCTAAAAATGTACACATTCTTCGAGTTACAATTTCGGAACTTGTTTAAAAATAGTTTAATTACTTTCAAACTTGTGTGAGATATTGTTGAGTTTTACCGGTATACAGTGAAAACCCCAAGCCATTGTCATTAATCTCTTCCCCCAGAAGGGGTAGAAACTTTTATTTTATTTCGCTTTTATTGGGAGTAGTTTAACAACTTAGGGTCTGAAAATTAGGCTAAAGGTAGATCTATAATGGAGTGATAATGATGATGATGGAAGCAGATCCGCTCAGTCATTGTTTTTTTTTTTTTAGTCAGTTAATTAGATTTTTGTTAGTTGGTCTATTTTAACGGTTTAAATCGTATGTTAATAGAACATTATTTTTATAATAAGTATAACTTGAAATTTGGATTAACTTATCGACGAAATGGCATATTGTTGTAAAGAACATTCAATATCGTTTTGCCAGTGTTGGTTGCAAGTTATCATTTCCTTTATAAAAACTTGTAATCAAATAAAATATTTAGTATTTTTAATCGATAAATATAAGTTCAAAAATAATTATCAAGTAAAACTTGACGTTTTATTTTTTTGCTACCAATGTAGAGAAAGCAACATTTCTGTATGGTGTATCTACATATGTATCGGTTCAAACAAATACCAGTCTCACTGCTTCCTCTATTGACATGGATTTAAATCCAATCATTACAATAAGCTTTATTGGCAAATAACAATGCTCCTCCATGTATAGTTTGTATATTATTTATTATTTATTTTGATTTTATTAAACGTTTTTTTATTGTACAATTAACATAAACAATAAATTAAATTTATTAAATAACTAAGTTCCATAATTTAGCTCGAATCAGACAAGACTTTTAAAAACGAATGAATACTGGTGGCCGGTGCTGCACAGCTGGCAGCACACAAAAACTTTAGTAGTTAAATACAAATTAAAAACATAGAATGTTCATATTAAATTATTATAATTTTTATATATTTTTACACCGTTGGTTCTCAAATATTTTTTTTTGTTTGGCTTAGTGTCTAAATTTAAGTAGCCCAAAAGGAAATCGGTTATGAGTTTTGGTCGAATAGGTCCACACCCGTTTCAACTTGTAATAGCCGTTATTTACATTTTTGACATTACGATGTGTTTTTTTTTTTTAACTGTATCTCTTGGGTCGTCACACTTTCAAGTCACCCGGCCACGTCTACTGGTCGAGTTGCCTTTATGTGTCAATTATAATATCATTTATATTATGTACATCTGGTGAGTCTGTGCAATAAAACTCAATTGAAACGCAAAAGAATGCTAACGTGTGACGGTAGGGAACACGCCGGCACTTTTTTTTAGCTTAGCCGAGAAAGTATTGGTTTAATTTTTTTTTAGCTCGGATATATTATTATATATAATTAACTTGTGTATTAGTTTTTATATTTTGTTCGTTGCTTGATAATACCGATTGTACATACTCGCCAGACTTGGGATCTCGGTTCTTGTACAATAATCCTAACGAGCCGATAAACCAACACTGGCGGCGACCTTTGCACGGCGTTTAATATAATGTTGAATTGACATTTGAAATGCATTATTTTTATCTCGGTCGTAGGTAAACCACCGACTGGTTCGTGTCCGTCGTAGTAACGTCTTTCCATCGCCAGTGCCCAGTTATACGGTGTACAGTGTTCTGCACCTTGTCGTATAGGATAAAATTGTATAGAGCCTTATAGTAACATTATTGAAGCCAACCAAGTAAAATGCACGAGACAGTATACCCACTTTAAATGGAAATAAATAAAACTGTGTTAAATACAGTTAAGTGGTGTACAGTATAATCCTTATCAATAATATGTAAATTAAAATGATAATTTGATAATGTACTAAATATGTTTTGTAATGTGTATCACATGGCTGTACAGTGCAACAAATTACAAAATATGTTATGTGCTGGAAAAATTTAATTTCTTATTTCGTCATTCTCATCACACCGTGCAGCTCGCCTTTTCGCTTACTTCATAATAGTTCAACGTTTTTGAAATTTGACCAGACATAAAAATACTTAATTGTTTAACAACCTGCTCCCATAATTTACATGTGACTAGTAGAATTAAAGATAATAACATTATCTCAAATCGTGGTGATAGTAACGTGGAAATGATAACACAAGTAGTAGCGTCACCACCAATTTTCGTATTAAAACGGGTTTTATCCAACGTGGCTGCTCTGTAAAAAGAAGGTACTCCTATACTCATAGACTTCATGAAAACGCCTTGGAGTATTGAATATTTTTTAAAATAAAATTCAAGTGTTCATGTTTTTGAGAGTACATAAAAGTTAAGATAATAGAGAAGGAATGCTATATGTTTTAATGCAAGTGAAAGTAATATTTTATACGAATGCTTTACAGCCTAACCTAACCGAATTGTACTTATTTAGTATAGAACATGTGCCTCTATATATTGTGACTCTATGGCCACGACTTACAAAAGACTATCATAATCGTAAACCATGGTCGTGAGATTTATTAAGAGATTTCATTCACAGCTGTTATTTTCGATTGATTTTTTTGAGACACCTGTTTGAATGAAACAAAAACATTTTTTTTTTAAATCAATGAACAAAACAATTTATATTTTTTACACTGAAACTCGAGTATACTCAAATTTATTTATTTTTTCAATGCATCCATTTTTTAACGTTACTAAATAGACAAACTTTAAAAATTGTCAACATTAAGTAACAAAATAATATCAATTATTTTACATGATTTTTCATAAACATAGTTAATATATCTACATTTAATAGGAATCATGATCATAAATAAAATGCTCATAATTTATTCTACAACCTATACTAACAATTTGAGTAAGTACTTCATACACAATTATGCTTGGACTCCATTCTCTTTTAACCTAGGTTCTAGATTCTAGGTTCTTAGACCTTGAACCTCAAACGTTTTGTGTAATTTTTTTATGAGAGCAGAATTAGGTAACTTGATTTTCAATTCTTGTCAAATTATCATAATTGGGTTATGTATTTAAATATATCACATTTACATTAATAGAATGCGGTCGACCAGAATATAACTTCCACTTTAGACTAGAATATGACTTCCATAGTGCTTCTACTGTATTTATCTATGTATTAACAAAATAATCTGGTACATGTTTAGGTATACTATGGTATTATTTTTGATATAATCAGCTGTTTTGTTTGTCTCCGATTTCCTTCTTAAGTCTACCAGTAGTCACAATTGTTGAAATTAGACAGTTTTAAGATGAAAGTAGGTTAAAATCGCTGTATGTTGTATACTGGGAATTAAAATTTATGTGTTGTTCGTTTTCCTTAGTAAAGATAAAAGGAGTGAATGACATAATTTATTACGCAGTGTTCCAAGGAGAAAGTTCGAAGAAAACCAATGTCGAGGGAAGAGTATCGTTTTAAACTAGGAATAGAAAATTTAACAATGTACTGCATTAGGGTAGTGTTTTTAACGTATACAATTTTTTCTAAGGCATGTAAGTGGTTAAAAAAACGCCTGTTTAAAAAAAATCAAAATTGTGAGACTACGGTCGGTCCAATTTCAATTATGTAAAATTAAATAAATTTGTCTCCTTACTCGGTACTGTCCAGAATTGATTGTGAAAGATTGTGCAATACAAATCCAATCTTAAATATATATATACTTAAATTTCGATTAAAAAAACCATTGTAAATTTGATTTTTTAGATTTGTAATGCAGTTGATCCACACAAGTTAAACGTCCATCTGATCGCGCACACTCATGACGACGTCGGATGGCTGAAAACCGTCGACCAGTATTATTATGGCAGTTGGTATTATTTAAAAAATATATTTTTTTAATCCAAAAAGTATGTTTTACACAGTTTAAACACAAAACCTGCGAAATTCTGCGAAGGCAAGAGGTCATCTAAGGGCAATGTTTCAATATTATTCAAACTAATTATTCCATAATATATACAACGTTTAATGGAAGCAATAAATTATAATATTTTCCACGGTCGTGTTTCACAAAGAAATCATTTTAGTGAATAATAAATTTTTCCTTCGTCGTTGTTTTGATTGGCGATTGATAAGTAGTATATTTTATACATAAACGGACAACGACTGTATATAGTTATTTATTCATGTTTCATTATTACTTACACTGCCTGCCCACTTAGCAGACAATATGATTTGGCCGACGGCTTGTTATATATTATAATATTTGATTAACGAAAACAAAATAATGATTTCGATTATTCGCACGTTGCGGTTTTTGTAGCCGTTTAATTAGCACTCAATAAAAAAACATAAAACAGAATTCGATAATGTACATGGATGTTTTAAATGGTAATTAATTGAAATGCCACCGTTACCGTATCGATTAATGAAGAAAAAAAAAAGAAATTGTCAATTAAGCTAACGGTAATTGCACTTGCAAACGTATAATTTATTGTGAACGGCGGATCTGTGTAATAATGTTTAATATCGAACAGTTCATATTATATAGATTCAATGTAGACGATGCGATGGTCATAGTACAAAATATATTGATATTATCGCAAATCTTAGAATAGCAGCCAATATGTGTATCAGTAATAAAATATGTGGGCATTTGAATTTAATTTCCAACAACAACAGTTTCATTAAACAGTAATTAAATAACCATCGATCCAATATTCCTATGCTCGGCGATAGGTCACGTAAAGTTCAACTTGGTTTAAATAAAATAAATAATACAGCTTAATGTATTCGTATGCTATGCAGCCTATAGCTGTATTATAATCTGTTTCTTAGGTTAAGAGAAAAAAAATCTCGCTTGTCCAAACTATTTTGGCTAATGAGTTTTAACACAAATTCATTATGATTTCTTTTAAATCATGTTGTCCTGGAAGAGTGCTATTGATTTTCTACGCAGTTCAGAGCGTGTTTCAATTTAATAAACGTTTATCAGTTTGCACAGTCGTTTTTTCTGAAAAAATTGGCTTCTATTTTTGTGATGGATACAATCGTTTTTTTATCATCGGCTTCGCATTTTTAGTGAAAACTCTATTTTCGTGGGGTGAAAGAAGTTCACCGTTTAATAGCCAAACTAAAACGGCTTGTAGTGCACGTGGCTGTATATATTATATTCGTGTTGACAAAATAACGAAGATTCATTAAGGGTAGTTGTCATGTTTTTGTCAAACCATCGCAGTGGCCATTTACAATGTTACCAAGAAAAAAATTGTTTTTCCACATTTTGATAGAAAATTCAGATAAAAAAATAACGCCTAAGCTTTATTTAACACGAAGGAACCTAAGCTGTTCATCTCTATGTCTTAAAGAAGAATAAACCAAAAGTTAACGGTCGTTTAAAATTTGTCATTGAAAAACAACAAAAACTTCAAAGCTGTAGAGTTGTAACTCAATGAGCTTTTGTTATACTTAGTTTTTCTAATAAAAATCTAACTAATTTTCTAATAGCTAAAATCAATAATCGGCCCATTAGCCCTCGTAGAAAAAGTAGTAGCTAAGCTTCAAAAAAAAAAAAAATTGAAATCTGTGAGAAATAGATATGCCAAAAAAAATGAAAAACTTTTTTATTTATTAACCTTTTAATAATTGGTTGACATATTTAAAATGAGTCTTAGATCAAGTTTCGACAAATATTGCCTATTCATTGTCTCATTGTAATTTTAACCGTAGTCTGAAACGCTTAATCCGTCAATTTTAAAAATAAATGTAGATTTTTCAATGCTTGCTTAATGTATTGATGGAAGGGAATTTTAGTTTGTCGTTTTTAATGTTATTGCAAAAAAACTATACAATTTGCATTATCTTACTTGGAAGTTATTAATTAATTAAAATAAAAATGCATTTTTTTTATTTTTTTATGTATCTAAAATAAATGCGTTTTATTATTACATTTTTTTTTAAATTCAATTTGTTTAATAAGAAAAAAAACGTATTTTTCAACGTAGCCCGATAAAAAGGCAAATAAATGTTTTCATTAAATTTGAATTTTAAATTTAAATCTTTTTACAGAATTGAAATCGGATTAGCGAAAGTCTCGCAATTTTGCTATAACGAAATAATTTTTCACAAATTGACAAAATTGAAATTTAATAAAATCTCCTTTTCTTAAATATTGCCACGACGAGACACTCCTTAAAAAACCGTCCGCTTTCGATCCCATTAAAGGGAAGCAATTCTGTACAAAATATACGGATTTGTTGGCCTAAAAAAAACCTACCACTTTTAATACACCCCCCTTAAGACACATCGTATTGAGGTGCATGTGATTGGGGTTTATTATAAAAATAATGAAATCTCTCGTTTTTCTGTTTTCGGCTAGGCAACAAAGTCCACGCGCCGTTTGGAGTGCAATACATTTTAGATTCGGTGGTTTCTGAACTGTTGAAGAACAAAAACCGGAGGTAAACAACAAACATACAATATATATTTAAATATGTATTTTTTTTTTATTGACCACCGAGTTTGCATTGACTCTGGCCACCGAACACATGATATTATTGTAATCGCTTTATTATATTTTCTACCTAATTATAATAATATTATATTATGCTCTAATAACAATGGTCGACTCTTGTTTGGATTCATCAGATTCGTATTTGTGGAAACCGCGTTTTTATGGCGTTGGTGGCAAGAACAAGACGAATGGAACAGAAACAGCTTGAGGACTTTGGTAAACGAAGGAAGGTTACAACTGTTACACGGCGGTTGGGTAATGAGCGACGAAGCTTCGCCTTATTATTCGGCGCTCATTGATCAAATGACTTTGGGTCTTAAGTGAGTATCGTTTCTAAGCCAGTATAAAACGTAGCAATTAAAAAAAAAACCTCTGTTTTTGTTCTATTCCAATTAAGAACAAATATTTAATTTTTTAGTACATTAAGCATACATAAACCCAATTAGGGAGGCCTCGAGGGATTAAGGCCGCGCAAAAACTAGAAACCCTTTTCCTAAAATAAATATGTCTTCAAATACAATTAGTTTTAATTAAAATTAAAAAAAAAAATATTAGCTAATTTTTCAGTTGGAAAATGTCCTGTAATTAGTTACCAGCATTGATCGAGTACACACTAAAATCACACATTATACATGTTGGTCACGTATTCCTTAGGAAACTCAACGAAAATACATATTATGGTTGTTGTTAAGGTTGCCTGCTTTAACTCGGCGCTGGTTTTGGTATTTTTATTCTAAGCAAACACTGGAATAATTGTTATGTTATAAAATATGTAAATTTAAATTGAGACAATTTTGTAAGTTTCTGTGCTATAAATAAGTACTGTTTTTTCTATGGGGGCTAAAAGGCCGATTTTTGATCTAGCGATTAAAAAAGTAGTTAGATGTATTGTATACTATAAAAAAGTAAAAATAAAAATGCTTATAAATATTTGTTGAAAACAAAAATAAAAAAATCAGCCTTTTAGCCCTCCATAGAGAAGATGTTAAACTATAAAACAACAAAAAAATGATTAAAATCGGTTTGGTAGACACTTCTGAAAGTGACTTCGCGTTTTAGTCCTTATTTGTAAACGCTTTCCGTTCCCCTCATTCAAAATGATATCTGAAATAAAAATAAAAATGGTTAATTAAGGTTGATTAAATAAATTAAAGAAAAACTAACTAGTTTACCGTCCGTTCCACTGATTACAATGAATAACAATTAACGCGCACCTTATTATTATCATTATATCCAACTCGACTTGCATTGTTTACGTCTAACTTGTACTTATAGTGTGTATACGGCCAGTAATAATAATTATCCGTTAAGAAGGTATTGTCGTTAACCGGAAGTTCTTATGGAAATAATAATTGTTCTTTTCAACGGCTTTTGCTTTCAACTCACGACAAAAGTACCTTCCGCGCGACTGCGTTAAACACCTCTTGATTTTCCCATTATTATTATTGTTTGCCACAATAGCTTAGGGGTACGTTTTTCATCTGATAATAGTACCTACACATTTTCTTCCAGAGTTTACAAAATAAATCAGTGTTACGGTAGCGCGCTTGCTTTCCATTTAAAGTTGACAACTACTTTTGTACACGCTTTAAAGCGTTGATTTTAAAGTATACACAGTTAAGCGATGCACCGCTTGTCTGTAATCTATAAAAATCATCGAGTAAAAAGGTACCCCCCCCCCCTCCCAAACGTTTTATTTCCGTTGCATCACAATTGATGTTTTTACTGATAATTGTGCGTTCAGAGACAAAAACGATTTTGCATATTTTGCTGTGTTGCATGAGCGAGAGGTTTAATACAAATGTAAAGTACACGACACGACATTCGGAAGCCAATAAAAAACACTGTAACATAAAAACGCTTGTCCAAGTACGTTAAGTTTCAAAACAGTAGAAGTTATTGTGAACTCGATTTTCCAATTCACAGGGACTGAGATTGATCTGTCATGTAGACAATTGTACAACGCGCCGCGCCGTTAAGTTTTATGTCTCGAATAACGTTATCGGGGGGGGGGGGGAGGGGGGTTGTGAAACGTTTCAATTTTTTTTATCAGTCATAAAACACACAGGTACGTTGACTTGCAACCCTATAACAAATTAAAGATGACGACCAAAATCGTGAATTCTCAAATTGGTAATAAAGTTTTCGATTGAAATGTATTGATAAAAACAACATCATTAAACGTTGTACAATTTTCAAAGGGCACGTTTTTCATGGTTCCCAACCGACGGGACTATCAAAACAATAAGTTTATTTTACAAGTCACTTGTTTTTGTAAAGTATTTAGAAAATACTATGCTAGTTTTCATGAGAATATTCTCGTGGTATTTTTTCAGCAGAATACGATCCCGCGCTTTTGTATACCGCTTATATTATTATAGATGCTTAATAATTTAACAATAAGGATATAATATTTATGTGTATATATTTTTTATACTTGTTCGATAGGTTCCTGAACGATACGTTTGGCGAATGCGCTCGGCCTCGAGTAGCTTGGCAAATAGACCCGTTCGGTCATTCGAGTGAGGTGGCGGCTGAATTTGCGGAAATGGGTTTTGACGGGCTGATATTAGGCCGGATCGATTACGAAGACCTGAAATTCAGGAAATTAGAAAAAAAGATGGAAACGGTGTGGAGACCAGATGTAAATATGGGTAAATATACTAAACACCGGATGCGCATTTTTCATTCCGGTTTAAGGTATTGTAATTTCCCGATGGTTAGTGCACAATGCACTAAACTGTTGTTGTGTTTTATATGACTCGAGAAAAGAGAGCTGGGATAATATCATTTTTGTGAGCTTACCGGACAAAAATCAAAACTTTTGCCTAACATCGAGGGAACAACAATACTATTTACAGTGCACCACTAGAGTCGTACGATTTGAGAATATATATATATTTCTTAAGTATTACATTTTGTGTGTTAAGGTCAAGGGGGCGAATTGTTCACGAGCATTTTGTACAACTTGTACGTGGCGCCTGAAGGGTTTTGCTTCGACGCGTATATGTGCAACGACGATCCCATTTTGGACAATCCGAAGCTGCACGGGTACAACGTAGACGCAAAAGTAAGTAGATTGTGATTAACAAATAATAATAATAAAAATAGTTCAAATTTCCGTTGGTGTTTTAATAAAAAAAAATTGTCGGCTTTTCCGGTAAGGTAGAAAACTTTGTCAATCACGTGCATCGGTACGCGGCCGCCTACAAGACCAACCACATAATGATGCCCATGGGAGGCGATTTCACTTACTCGGTGGCGTCTGCTTGGTTCAGAAACATGGACAAATTAATCAAGTAAGATTTAAGCGGCAACATTTTACTGCAAAATTCATTTGAAAATTTTGAATCGTTGAAAAATTAACAACAGTCACACCCATAGAGGGGGCGCTAAGTAAAAAAAGTGCCAAGAAATGCGTGGGTTCCTATGGAGGATAGGTTTGCAACTCCCGCGGGTAAATTAGGGTAGGAAGTATAAAGAGACTATTACTGTTTTCCTCTCTTATTTCTGACGACTTTGTTCATTTCCTATAACCAAGGAAAATGTTTGATATCAGTTTCGGCAGCAAACAAGCCATTTTAATTATCGTCGATAGCTGGCTCCAATGATTTGCTTGATTGCAAGTTCCGGTTGACTGTCTCTTCTGGTTATTCGGTAATAATATTATCTTAAATCGTGTTGATCAGGCGATATTAGGAACGACTCTTCTATTATTACTCTAGGTATGTTGTCACCCCGAAGGCCTGAAAATTGGTTGGTTTTTGAGCAAAGAATGTTTGGTTCAGATATGACGTAGTTTAGTGTTCAACAGTTATGATAAAAATATAAATATAAATTAGTACGTTTACACGAAGCTACTAAAATTGTTTGTTACAAAACAAACCATTTTCAAACGTACCAAAACCATTGTTTTATTTCCATCCTGGTTAATGCAAACTGATATATTGAACAAGAATGGCGATCCTCAATTTAACAATGAAAATAAAAGCCTGTTGTCCACTGTGTTCTTGTATAGGTTTTTTACAATTAGTACTAAATGATAAAAAATAAAATCAATTGGAAAATCCATCTTAATTTCAATAGAAACAAATCTATAAATGTATATTTTTGGTATGTTTGTTCAAGGACAAAAATATATTTTTATAATTTATTATGATGTATAATTTTAAACGGTTTTTTTTTTGTATTTCAATTTATACTTAAAGCTCAAAAATATGGTTTATAATTATTATTTTTAGTGGTTATCTGTGTTCTTATATTAAACAATTAATTAATCAATTGTAGTAATGTATATTTTTTTAACTCGGCCAACCCAGTATCACCGACCACAACTAAACTGCGTTTTTTTTCCAGACACGTGAACACGATGAAGCCCAAAATAAACGTTCTGTACTCGACGCCAGAGTGTTATTTAACTGCTTTACAGAACACCGAAAACGTCACTTGGCCCGTGAAGGACACCGACGATTTTTTCCCATATGCACACGACGAGCACTCCTATTGGACTGGATACTTCACGTCCCGTTCCAATTTGAAGTATATGATTTCCAAAGCCAACAACTTATTACAGGCGAGTGCGACATTATTTCGATTCTATTTTTGTTTTTTGACAAACTCGTTTCTTTTTAACGGGCCAGAAGGGATAAAATTTTGTTTTTAAACCCAAAAAAGAATCACAAGGAGCAACAATCGCCTCGGGGAAGAACTTGACTGAGTGAACAAACACCGCCGACTATAGATTGTTTCGGTGCATACTGAATTCGATTTACCCAATGGTTAATTTTCAGATCTTACACTCTAGAACTGCGTGTAGAAATATCATTAAACCCTTATCGGCGGCTGTAACGATTGCAGTATTTTTTTTTTTTTTTTTTTGGGTATTTAAATACCGTAACGTTATTTTTTTGGGGAATTATAGGCAGTGAAGCAAGTGGGCTCGGCGTTAGGTACAGAACACGACGAAGAAATGCAGAAACTTGCAATGGTCGTCGCCCAATCTCAACACCACGACTCTATTACCGGTACGGAAAAACAACACGTGTCTGATGACTATGCCTTGTACTTGGACGAAGCAATAAACGATTCGAAAAACGTGCTTACGGCTGCATACAAGTTGGTATTTGTTTATTAATTTTGTTTAGCTTCGACGCTAGGTATTGTTTTTACTACCCGCGGTATTTTCCAAACCCCCCGAACCGATTTTTTCATATAGCAAAATATATATCTGTGTATAACTTTTTCTATCTTAAATTTTTTTAGATTAACATTAGATTAAGCCATATAATACAAATATGCAAATCACCCACTGTAAGGAGTAACGCTTATGTTGGGTGTGATATTGTAATAGGGGTTTAAATTAAATTCAACTTGCCCGTGAGTAGGAAATGTAAATTTACTTTGTTTTAGTTGGATTCAGATCGGTATCGTCACAATCCTATGTTATTGTAAAATGGAACGAACGCGATGGTTAGACTAACGAGGGTTGTTTTAAAAAGTTAAGGGGGCTCCATACAGACCATTTTTTCAGTCAAAACACATCATTTTCATTCCATCGCACAGGCCTAACCAGTGATCCGATAAGCAATCTAAAAACAGATTTTAATTCGTCATGAAGTTTACTTAGGATCGGTCGAGGCATTTTTATCAATTTTTAATTTTAACCCTTTCTAAATTTTATTTTAAAATGTTGAAATTTTATAAAATGTTCAAACGTGTTTTATACATAGTAGGAATAAGATATCAAAAAATTACGCCGACCGATCTCAAGTAAATTTCATGACGAATTCAAATCTGTTTTCATATTACTTATCCGGATCACTGGTTGAGCCTGTGCGACGGAACAAAAAATGTATGTTATATTAACTAAAATGGCTTTTACTCATAGACAAAATGATTTAAATTAAAAATAATACCTTGAAGCTTATAAAAATTTACCAGTAAATTTATTGACATGGTCGACATTTATTTAAACCAATTTTTTCTTAAATATTGCTTACACAAAACTCCTTAAAAATGGTCTGTATGGAGCCCCCTTAAAGCAAAAAAAAAAACCCCATTTCAAATTTAACGTGTAATTTTTTTTTTATGTACTGCCAAAGATTGTCAAACCGATAATAATAGTAATAATAATACAATATTGTATTGTTTCGTCGGTATATTTTTACAAAAACATAAAAACAGTGTGTTTTATTTTCCAGGAAATGGGTCGGAAGCGATTATCCCGAACAACGTTATTGTAAGCTGCTCAACATCAGCGAATGTGAAATATCCGAAAACAATTCGAAATTCGTGATCACACTGTACAACCCACTGTCGCATAACGTCACCACGCCAGTGCGAATACCCGTTAAATACGCAGAGTACAAAATCGCCAACTCCGCCGGTAATGCTAAACAATTCCTATACGTTTATTTTTAGGTAATATAACCGTGTGTTAGACTTACAGAAGCCAATATCGAACACGAGCTGGTCACGTTGCCCGGGCAAATTTTCCGGCTCGGTGGTCGCACTTCAAACGCAACCCACGAACTGGTGTTCCTGGCCACCGCGGTACCGCCGTTGGGCATTAAAAACTATTATGTGGAAAAAATCAAAGACTTGGACCCTCCACCGAGACCGATCCCGCTGAACTCGACCGAGGAGGTGACGATCGGCAACGGGGTGAGATGCATCAACCAATAGAATAATAATATTGACAAACTGAAAGTCCACTCGATTGCTTTCAAAAAACCCATCTGCCATTTGATACTTACTTTCCGTGCGCCGTTGATGACCTCGCTACATTTATTTAATCTCAGACAACCGACACTGATATGCCCCTCACACTATTTGTCTCTTTTTAATTTATAAATTATCGAAGAACAAAAGTACGGACTGTACCCTCGCTTAGAATTCGCCCAAAAGTATTTTGATAATTATTGGATACTAAAATATTACTTACATGTTTTTGCTTGCGTTTTAAAAAGAAATTGACCGTCGGTTTCAACGGCACCAGCGGGCTCGTGGAATGGATAGAGAAAAACGGCACTAGACATTCGCTGCAACAGAATTTTTTCTACTACGAAGCCATGAAGGGATACAACTTTAATGCGGATAATCGCGCCAGCGGGGCGTACATATTTAGACCGGCGAAAAACCAGCCAACCGCCATATCCGAAAAAGTTCAATTGACCGTTTACAAAGGTAGAATACTATTGTGCTAGAGTTCGGTAAAACTGTGAACGGATTTTGAATTAGTTTTGACGTAGGAAAAAATGTCAGCGAAGTCCACCAATCGTTCAGCTCTTGGCTAAGTCAAGTAGTCAGAATCTATGACCAACAGGAGTCTATTGAATTCGAATGGCTCGTAGGACCGGTGCCGATCATGTAAGTCCGATCATTTACCGTCAAACCGTTGATGAACTATTGATGAATAGTTGTAAGATCTATTTCGTGTTTAGCAATGAAATTAAAATAAAACGTTATCTGTATATTATTATTTCCTTAACTTGTTTTGTTGTAAAATGATCACAGGGAATGGATTGGAAAAGAAGTGATCACTCGGTACACGACTAAGATAGCGTCTAACGGTACGTTTTACACGGATTCCAATGGCAGAAGGTGGATGAAGAGAAAGTTAAATCACCGTTCTTCGTGGAATTTGACCCTAACCGAACCGGTAGCGTCTAATTATTACCCAGTAACTTCAAGCTTAGCAATCAGAGACTCTGTGCACCAGGCCACCATTGTAACTGACCGAGCACAAGGTGGTACCAGCGTAGTGAACGGAACGTTAGAGCTAATGGTAAGTTTCCATTGTATTATTCTAACGTTGTCATAAAGTATATAAGTAATTTTATATAGTATATACTATATATTGTGGCATTTTTGAATTTTAGTGATATTACTCGAGAACAAGTTGGTCTAAAGGTTTAGTTGTAAGAGTAACAGAGGCAGAGATAGACGGAGCCTGCTATCTTTAAAGAGCAAGTGGCTAATAAAGCTGAGACAATTTTTGGGTTCAGTTATGTTTGAGAATGTAGGAATTATGTACGTAGAGAGTAATGGAGAGTAGTGTCAAGTGTTTTATTTGAAAAGAGAGTTCCAATGAGAGTTATAGGTGGGCCATTCCACGTGAAATTACCTAATGGGTCTGCGACTATACTTCAAAAATGTTTAAAATTTGTTATCATACATTCTTTATAGGCCCTTAATAACAAAAAATCTAAAAAAAAAATTGTTTAAATATTTTTTTGGACCTAGGGAGGTCGATTTTTTAAAAAAAATTATTCAAAAACACCTCATGTTCCCGACTCTGTAATTTAACCGCCGATGGTGGTATAGCTTATCGTGTTCAGTTCTATTGAGTGTTTTTGTTTCATTGACTATCAAAAGGCATTCGATAGAGTTGCACACGATAAAGTTATAAAACTACTAGAAGTAACTGGAATTGACGATCAAGACTTGAGTATAATAAGTAATTTATACTGGAACCAAACTTCTGCTATACGAGTAGAAACAGAAATGTCAAACGATATTCCAATAAAAAGAGGAGTGAGACAGGGATGCGTCCTGTCACCACTTCTACTATTTAACTTATATTCGGAATTCATACTTCCAAAAGCTTTGGATGAAGTTAACGAGGACATAAAAGTAAATGGTGAGTGCATAAACAACATGAAATACGCTGATGATACAGTTGTATTCGCGGATAATATGTCAAGCCTCCAAAAAAATTGTAGATAGAATAATGGACATAAGCGAAAGTTTTGGGTTGTCTCTAAATATAAATAAAACCAAATATATGGTAATTTCGAAAAAAACAAAATGTAAGAGAAAAGCTATTAATTAGGGGACAGCAAATAGAAAAGGTTCAAAAGTATAGATATCTCGGTACATGGGTAAATGAGGACTGGGAACATGGGATGGAAGTTAAATGCCGGATTGACATGGCCAGAGGTGCATTCGTAAAAATGTCTAAGATATTTAAATGTCATGATTTTTCACTGGGCGCTAAAATTAGAATATTAAGATGTTACATCTTTCCAATTTTATTAAATGGTGCCGAAACATGAACATTAACTGAAACATCGAGTAAGAAAATTGAGGCATTAGAAATGTGGCTGTACCGCCGTATCCTAAATATCTCATGGACAGATTACTGAAGACTATAAAAACACGGAAATTAGAATACCTGGGTCACACAATGAGAAATAACCAAAGATATGGATTGCTGCAACTTACACTTCAAGGAAAAATAGAAGGCAAGAGAAATGTTGGTAGACGAAGGATATTTTGGTTAAAAAATCTCCGGGACTGGTTTAGTACAACAACAATTGAACTATTTCGTTCGTCGTTAGAAAGAGAAGCAATATTAATTATGATTTTCAACATCCGAAACGGATAGAGGAACTTCAAGAAGAAGAAGAAGTGGTATAGACATGAAACCTGCACAGTTAAATTTCTAATTAAGTGTTTTAATAATTTAATAAATTATTATTATTTTTTAACCCTAGAATTTTTGAATTTTTCAAAAAAATTTTTTGGGGTCAAAAAGTTAAAAATTAAAAACAAATATTTTGTTTATATAAAATTTATGTATGATAAAAATTTCAAACATTTTTGGAATATAGTCGCACACCCATTAGGTGATTTCACGTGGAATGACCCAGGTAAGCTCTACAAGGGTACGATGAGGCCGACTATGTTGTATGGTTCGGAGTGTTGGGCGATACACAGGAATAGGTGGATGAGTATATCGGTGATGAGAATGCTTAGGTAACACGAATACATAAGAGGTAACGCGTGGCTTCTACAGCGGACAAAATGAGAAATAGACTGAGATGGTTTGGAAATGTCACGAGGTTAGAGAGGAATCGGAAGCTATAAGAATGGTAATGAAAATAAACGTAGGAAAAACTAGGGGAAGATGAAGACCCTGAAATGGTTTGAGAATGATATGATATGGGAGATCGTGTCGAGTGTAGGCTCGAGGATAAGAGTGGCCGACCCGCAATAGTTGAGGTATAAAGGCGAGGAATAAGTAGTGGAAATGTGAGATGAATTGTATGACTGAATCGCGCTAGACACAGAATTCCAGTAGAAGACGAGAACTTTGAAAGTTTTCAAACGTGAATGATGACGTTTGTACGTTACAGCTTCATCGTCGACTTTTGTACGATGACAGCCAAGGAGTCAGTGAACCGTTGGACGAGAACCAATTTGGAGAAGGAATGGTCTCGAGGGGCAAACATGTATTGCACTTGAATGAACTCGACAAGGCTGGCAGTGCACATCGGTTGTCTGCATTGCACACAGCAATGTCACCTGTTATTACATTGGCTCCGACGACTCTGTGGTCGACCGAATGGAACTCCAAGTTTAACGCCACGGTATTGGATTTTGTTCTACGGTCGTATTGTATGTATATAATATGGTAACACACTCACTAAATATATGCATTTTACAGTTTACCCTGTTGAACGTCACTCTGCCGTTAAATATTCACGTGTTGACGTTGGAACATTGGCGAAAAGATCAAGTGTTGTTAAGACTGGAACACGTTTTCGAAAAAGACGAAGATCGGTTTTTATCATTACCCGAATACGTCAAACTCAGAGTAAGCATAATTCTTGCTTGTATTATTCGATTACACAAATTAACCGATCTATAGGTCTGTGATCTCCTTCCCCCTCGCGTTCCAATACATCAAGGGACTCGTATGGTATTTTTTAACATTTCAGAGTTTGTTTACTCATTTAAACGTGACGGATTACAAAGAGTTGACCCTAAGCGCGAACCTGGCCAAGGAATCTTTGGACCGTTACCGTTGGAATCACGACAATAAGCCTCAGCCACGGCAGCAAGATTCAGACGCACCAGACGTCGTCCTCTTAAGACCAATGGCCATTAAAACTTATTTGCTGACAGTGAAACCACGATGACGTACATGTTTGTTTTAATTATTATTTGATTTTTTTATTATTATTACTATTATTATTATTATTATTATTATAGATTTATTACTATTATTTAATTAAAAAACTAATGTACGATTATTATTTAAACAATTTTTTTTTTTTTTTATAAGCTAACAACAAATTTAGAGTTATAGTACGTGAAATATATAAATAAAACAATTGGTTACATCGAGCTAACGTTTTTATATTTTTTTTTTTTTTTTTTTAAAGGTTTGCCCAAAATAAATTACACAGTTACAGCCATAACACAGATGTACAGACACTTTAGTGTAGTTGTATGTGTTGGATGGAATGTGACTCGACGAAAATGTAATTTATTTAAAAAAAAAAAAAAAACAAGAATAATACCCTATCGTTTTAATTGAGTTTTCCGTGGAAAACGAGTTTTCGCCCTTGCAATTATGTTTACAAATTTGCAGAATTACATTCGATCTTATTTCTTGTATTTGAAACAATAATTATTATTGTTATAAGGAGAAGTGAGAATGTAATAAATGGAAGCAATATTTCTATAATAAAATGTTGTTCAGCAATTATTGCGGTAACCAACGCGACAAAGTTGTTGTATAGCTTTGATGTGTTAGCTGAGAAGTTATTGGTTTTCAATTGATGTGTTTTTTTTTGTGTGTCTGTAGAGACGATAAATTATTTTTCCTGTGGACCGGATTACTCGTGTAGCACCTCTATAGATCTGAAATCGTATGCGGTTGGTAATTTAGTGGGTCAAAAGTGGAAAAAATCAGTTCCTTCACCCCTGAAATCAGGAAAAACTGGAAAAAAATTTCTCAGGTTTTTCAACCATTTTTTATTAGTATTTATTAAACAATATTATGGCTCATAAATTAGAAAGTTTGGTCAGAATAGGTCATTAGATTCGCCCACAGTGGTCAGAAGTCCACGGAAACAGAGAAAAATAGCCACGAGACTTATGCCCGATCAATATTTTATTCTGACAATTTAGTTAACACAATAAAACTACTTGTTAATTTTCCTACTGGGTAACGAATGAAATTATGTTCATAATAACGTCAGTGAAAAGGAAGGACAATTATTTTAATGACAGTTAACGGCCAAAATCCTATAGGGTTATAAGTTCCATCGACAAAAACAAAAATGAAAAATATACATAAATAATTTCTAAATAATTTACTATATTTTAAATTTTTTAATAATTTTTACATTATTTTGTTGGACTGTTGTGAAATGTATAAATTTTAAATTTCTAAAAAATCATTCCGGGGTAAAACCACTATGAGCTACTAATTCATACTACATTTTTCTGTTATCATACATTTCATAATTAAAAATCTTAGTGAACAGACTAGTGCGGTAGTGAAACAAAACCAGTAGCCATCTCTATTATTACCGTTAGGAAAACAATCAATAATTGTATTTTTAATTTATCATGATAGATTCAAATAATAAGGAATACATAGGTAAATACAAAAAAATGCTTAATAAAAAAAATACCCAGAATTTTTCTCCAATAATTTTTTATTTTTAAACTTATTTATCATTTTAAATTCGCTTTTTAAGTTCAAGTAGGTATATGCACAGCATTTGCATTGTCCCGAAAAATTATTCAAATATTTTATTTGGGGCATATCCAACTGCAAAAACGCTAATAGTTAATTTTGGACTCAAAAACTTTAACTAACCTAACTTAAATATTATTTTCATCTTCGACGGTTCAGTGTTTAAAATTGTTTTATCAAATAGAAAGTTGTTTTTATCTATTGAGTAAATACAATAACACTACGTCATACTAGGTACGTTGGGAAAAATGATTTTTATCATATTTTTTTTTTTTATGTTGAAATATTAGTTTTAAAAAATAAAAATAAAATAACGAATTTCGTAAATTTCCTAAAAACCGTACTAAAACGGCCCCCTTTGGATGTGAACCTACACAAATAACAGGAAATGACAAATGTTGTTGTAAACCGAGACCGAATGACTCGGAAACTGTTATTCAAATAGGTACTACGAAAGCGGGAGTTGTACAAGCATTTGCAATATGATCTCGGTGATTTTCTTTGGAAATTCTTGTGTTTTCCTTTTCACATTGTACATATCAAAATCACAAACTCATATTATTACGCCATTATCCATTATTATTATTATCCCGGAGTTCCTAGGATGCATTGTTGATGCATTACCGCTTTCCAATATTCGGTTGCAATCAAATAACTCGAGCAAAGCACGCCTAAAGCAAACGGTAAAATACATTTCAGCTTTAAACGTACAGCTCTAAATTCAACACTATTTTACTGGAAATTTTAAATGGCGTAGACTTTATAATTTAAAATTTCTTTATTCAATTAATAAGCCTGTACAACGCAGTAGGAGTTTGAGCTTTGAATTTTTCCGGACTCGGCACAATAACAGTTTCATTTAGATACCATTTTGAACTCTCTGTTTAGGCCGGCAAACGTACAATTTTGCTATTAAACAATACAAAGCGGTTGTAAGAAAATACCAACGAGATTGCAAAAACAACGGATTTATGACCAAAAACACTCGTTTACTTGTGCAGACGGGTAAAAGTTAATTGTCCTGCAACACCGATGCTCGTTAACAAAATACCTTTTTTTATTATAATAGTTGCAATTGCAAACACAAATAGATATCAGAGTTGGAGAGGACAAATGTCTTGGGATTCGTAGGAAATGAAATATTTTCCTACTCGCATTACACCTGCATTTTTTTTTTCATTCCGTATCTTGGTCTAATGATATTCAATGTTCCTCCACTCTTCTCTATCTGTAGCGATTCCCTTTTAAAATTTCCTCGTAGAATTCTTTTCCTATATCAAACATAATTTGTTTCATAAACGACTGCCTTGGTCTTCCTCTTCCTGGTTTCCCTTCCATTGTGATTATTATGTAGATATTATTATCATACAATATATGTCATACATAATGTATAATATATATCCATTTATGTTATATTCTGTGTACTTTCTGCAATAATAAAATATAACATAAAGTCGGTCGTGTACTTTTTTTGAAACAATTATAATTATATAATTAGGAAAACGAAAAATTACATTAATTGCATGACGGTATCAAGTTTCATTACTCGATTATAATAAAATAGTGCATACTTCATTGTTGTTACAATATTATGATTTAGACAAAAACCAAAAAAATACATACATATCCTAAAAAAAAAAATGTCGACGGTACTATTTATATTAAATGAAAGCAATAATAGTTTAATTAATATTTAGTTATAATAATAATATATAAAACTATTGATGTATTTTGACTGTCGAATTCACAATCACTGACACGATCGAGTAACATGTGCGCATGACCTGTTGAACAATTTTCAATAAAACAAATGGCTTTGTAATAAAACTAAAATTATGAATATCTAATTATTATATTATGGAACACACGGAAACAAATAGATGCAAGTTGACGATCCTTTTGTTGGTGATTTTCATTTCCAACCGGTACGCGTTGTTCATTTTCATTGATAAAAGAATCAGTTTTTGACATTTTAAATCCATCGTTGTCCAGTTGCAGCTATATATTGAAAAATTGATCGACTCGTTCTAAACGATATAAATCAAATACATTATGTAACATACATTTTAACAACATGCATAATTACCTGATCTTTTAAAATGCCATACAAGTAACAGATCACGAATAATTGGAACGCACAAACCGCAAGCCCCGTGAGCATTTTCAAAGAATGTATGAAGTCTAGCATTCCTCCCTCGAAATAGTTCTTTGTACAAGTTTTATTGTAAATCATACAATTTTCAAAAAAAAAAAAAAATATATTATAGACTCTAGAGTATGTATTTAAAATAATCTTTACCAGTGATATTATTGACAACAGAAACACTACCGAACACGAAGCCACGGCTATATGTGTCAAAATAATTCGACCGAATATATTATAAAACTCTTGCATTTTCCTGCGAATAAAGACAATTTTGAGTAACGGTCACTAGTAAGTTTAAGTAAATATTGTGTTTTGATGTTCTATTACTATATAATTATTTTAAGGTGGGCGAGACGACCAAACAAATTACTGCAAATTTCTATAAATCAAATCAATTTTTTTTCTTTAAGCGAATAGACACCGTCTTGTTATTTCCTATGCCACTGACAGATTGTCTAAGCATTTTTATTTTTTACCAATGACGTCCACGAAGGATTTAAAGTACCGACTAGATGAAATTTGTGATTTATACAGTTGCTACCCGAAGGAATTGGTCCAGTATTAAAAAAGTTACAGTGTATACAGATAAAACAAAAAAGCCCACATCAGAAGAGAACCAATACCTTCCGTGCTTCGCATCGAAGCTAAAATACTTTGTCGGTATGATGAGATATAGGAATATAATGGAAGATTACAAATATTTATGGTTTAGTTTCGTTATTAATACATTATTAATGTGTAGTCATCGACACGGCAACGTTGCATGACAGGTAAAAACGTTCGCAATAGTGTTTCATCCTACCGCATCCCTATCTTGTCTTCTTCGCAAAGTTCATCAGATCAAAAGATATTTAGCTATAGCGGTTATCTCTTCGAGGTAGTCTTCCTTTATTATAAATTCTCTTACCGACCTTAGACGACCTTGTAATTTATTCACAACATAAAGATATGATATGACCCTTTTCATTAGCTTTACAGGCTAACAGAGGTCGGCTATTGTAGGAACCGACGTTTGATATTTCAATTGAAATTGTGTTTAAATCCCATATCAAATGTTTAATATTCACTTCATCGGCTATTTTAGGTAAATGAAACAGTTTTTCAAAAATGAATTGGAATTCAGTCTTCCACAATGAATTGGAAAAAACGTCAACCAGCTAAATTATTTTTGCAAAATTAAAATCCAATCATTCTAAGCAGGCGTTATTTTGTCAGACTCTTAGGTCTCAATTGGGTTCTTTTGAAAACAAAATGACTTTAACTCGTATAAAAAAATGCATATTAAGTTACAAATAAGTAAGTTAAACTCTGAGCATTACACAAATTAACTTGAAAATAAATCAATACGGTCGGCATTTTTTAACACTCCTTTTCCCCCTTAAATATTGCCTATATAAAACCTCTTAAAATCCGTCCGCATTCAATCATCTTAATACTTAATT